TACTACGTGGATCCTGCCAACAACGCCAAATGTGGCAAGGTGGAGAAACGAGGGCTCGGGTGGGATTTGAGCCCCAGACTCCCAGGTGAGAGTCATGCGCGCCAAAGGGACATCCCCTTGCCCAAGTAGCCAGGGCGCATGACAAATCGGGATACAGTGACAGGACGCTCACACTGTCACATATGGAGAATCTTAGACTGTGTCACATCTTTTAGAACAAAATTAAATAAATCAGCGTTCTCAGCTAATTTTATTTTCAGGTAGAGGTCAAGATAAGGATATTCATGACCTTCCATAAGTGGAAACTGAACTGTTTAAGCACTGTCCTATGAAAATTTTAGCTTCTGCTTCTTTTGTGTCAATAATTTACTATAAAAGGACAAAAAAACAAAACAAAAAAAAAAACACACAATCTAGTTAGATTTCTCTTGTGTAGTCTAATCAGCGTAGAGCTTAAAATGCATCACTTTTTACTACTTTAAATATGGCAACTGTTCCTTTTCTGTAACATTTTCTACACGAATATAATGACGCTTCCTGGAAGGTACATTGCTTTCATAATATTTCCTTGCAAAAACTAAAATGGATCTGTCACATGGAACTTCTGCCATCTGTATGAAAGCAGAAGAGATGCTGCATCAGAATGTGTGTGTGTGTGTGTGTGTGTTTGTGCTCACTGCTTACTTCGTAGGGCTTGTGAGACTTGCATATTTCACACGTTTTGTTCGCTCTCACACCACACATGCATCTTCTCACACAGAAAGAAACACATTCACAGCTGATATCATAAAATAGGAGAAACCGACACCATAGGCACGATATACATGGCTCATATACGACAAAATGGACAGGAAATATGAAATATCCATAAGTGACCACTTTTATTAAGTTAATCTGACCACAAAGGTAATGGATTTGATAAAAACACTAAAAATGATGTCATTCTTTTATCTCTAAGGTGTGTTTTTTATAATATTAGTCAATCATTTTGAGTTATTTTTCAAAAATCCACCTTTAAAGTGACAATGTGCATTTTTACCATTAATCTCTCGATTTATCCATCAAAATGTTGTTGAAAATTAATAAAATGATACTCACGGCTTTGCAACCATAAATATTGGGTCTAAAGTACAAAGGGCACAGGTCTAAGGGTGTTTCTCAATGTCAAGGCGCCTGGCCTCGCGAGGCAGTGTCTTCCGAGGCCAGGCGCCTTGCGTACGAGGACACTGTCCTTTCTTGGTCAAAGAAAACGGTTAAATGGAACAAACTTACATCACGTGACCGCAGTGGAAGCCGCGGTCACGTGACACAGGAGATAACGTTATATTTTATATGCATTAGTGTCAATATAAATATATAACGAGGCTTTTACTTTTTAAATTGTGTTTATGTTTGTTAAATTAAATATGTAAGTGAGTTACCACCTGCTAGCCATACACCGAAGCTGCAACTACTAAGCAACTAACCAACAATAGATAACTTCTTTGGATCTAAAAAAAAAACATTTTAAATTAGTTTACTTACTTTTAAACTTGAAATTTACCCCCGAAATAGCTGCCGGCTTCTGATCCACCATCCTTTTGAAAATATAACGGCGTATTCTGGGAAATTTTGACCAAGGCTAGGCTACAAGACACCTCTCGTGTATCCTTGCTCAGCTAGCTAAACGGCTAACAAACGGAGAACGCACGCCTCAGTAGAACATGAACATTGGAATACGTCTTGGCGGCTCCTGATGACATATCTCCTAGGCAACCGGGGCGGGCTAAGACATCAAGGCGAGGTTCCTTGGCATTGAAAAACACCCTAACCCCCAAATTCCACTACCTCCGCTCCACTCCGACACGAACGCCGGAGCAAAATCGGTCCCGTTGTAGTCAATCAGAGCAATTCCACTACTGCGGCCGTGCTGCGGCAGTGCGCCGCACTCTGTTCCGGCGTCCGGCAAAAATGGAATCGATCCTAGTTTTGACGGACGCCGGAGCACCTCCGCAGTAAATGGACAGAAATCACAACCGCCCAACAGGAAAAGGAGCAAGCACAACTTCCCTTTTTTCACAATAAATCGATAAACAAAAGGCGTTTTTTTTGTTTCATATGCACAGGTTTAGCAACTTTTAACAACTATCAATGGCGGCTGAAGTTTAAATGCACAAAAGTAAGCCATAAATACAGTTTCCACTATCAAAGTAGTCACACTTTGTTGATCCAAACACTGCTGATCTCTCAACACAAATGATGGGCTGATTAAACAGTTCATGCCGATGCTTCTCCCACACAACGGGTGTTTGGATCTAACTTCTGCGTTTATTGCTCGGACTGTATCGCAAGATCTCGAAAATCCCGCGCATGCCTGTTTGCGCACCTCATGTCTCCGCACCGGAGCGGAGCCGCTGTAGAGCGGGTACCAGTAAAAATTGAGCTCGGAAGCGAGCGGCTGCGGAAGGCGGGGGCGGAGCGGAGCGGAGGTAGTGGAATTTGGGGGTAAGTCTCTGGGGGACGCCATATTAGATGCCATGTGTCCTTCTGGCTGGATTGTGGTCCTGCGCCTCTTGATGACATCACACTAGGTGGCTGAACGTATGACTTACATTACCACGTTCAAAAACATTTAGGCAGTAAGAAACATGAATTTAATAACAAAACTGCTAAACTCTTTCCAAAACACAGGTGAAAGAACAGAATCGAAAAAAAGATGCAATAAATTTTGGCCAAGTAGTATTGCTGTAGTATGATGTCATCATCGGCAGGCACAGGACCCCCGAGCAGCGCCAGAAAACTACAATCAGCATTTCATTCTCTTGATAGAATTAACTGAAGGATCACCAAAGTCTGAGGAGGCACGCTCAGGTCACATGCTTTCTGCCCCACACTGTACTGTTTTTTAAACTAGCGACAGTCACAGCGATATGGTGTAAAACTGCCCTGAGATGTATCTATGTTTTACCCCTATTGCCAGAAAACTACACACTGCCACTATGACATCAAAAAAGCTAATAAAATTCTAGTGCCTGAATCAGCATTCAAATGCATGATATAAAGTATTTACCAAAATCATATTCAGGTTCCAAACAGTTTAGAAGAAACATAAATTTAAGGTGTGGTTGACTGAAAAACATTTAAAATTATTTTTTATGATTATAATAGGTTTTTCCTGCAGGCTGAACATTAATAAAGTCTTCTACACCTATTTCCATTCTGATAGACAATAAGCAGTGAAATGCTAGGAGTTGAAAATCCTCACATATCTATGTCACACTGTGAATTTGCATATATGACCTTGCCTATCTTGGCTTGCGCCCACCCACAGGAAGGCTTTTGTTTTTTGTTTTAATTATGGGGCGAGGAGAGAGTGTTTTGTTGAGTGACTTTGCAACATGGCTGAATGTCTTCTGCTAGCCAGTAAGAAGGGAGGTGTGTGCATATCCCACCAGCTAACTTCTGCACCTCAGAGCAGGCTTATCAAAGCTTTTCTCTACACTAGAGAAGAGTGCAAATGTATTGAAAGAATGAGTAAACCACAACTTAAAATTAATTATTTTTAGAAAATGCACTTTTGTTTATTTGCAAATGTATTTTGTTTTATTCCAGAAGCTAGTAGGTAATTACGTCTGTTTGCATTTCTCAAAAAAAAAAAATCCATAATCACATTTCATTTTGACTCTAAGCCTTTTTCTGGGCACATTTAACATTTTCACTATTTTCTACTGAAAATATACAGACAAATTAAATTCAATTTTAATTTGACAGAAGCAGAAAGAGTTTCATTATGAGGAGCTTAATTACTAAGACAATGAGCTGCAGGTTGTTCAGGTTCATTACGAAAACTTTTGAAAAATGTAGAAGTTGGAACATGAAAGGGGGTGTCCACGAAGGGGTTTTTACTCCATGTAAACGTCCTGTGAGGCAGATGGACTGATAAAGCATATTTAAATGAAATAACACAATGATTCACAAATAGAATTTAAACGAAATGTTTTTTGCTGTTGTCATTTTTAGTTAGTTTAATAAAAAAAGGCAACACTCTGGAAGCAAAACTTCAGATTGCACTTAGTCTGACAGATGTTTCTCAATCAATGATATGAGCTATCATTGGCAAACAGGGCAATCATGACCCCTAGTGGTCAAAAAACGACAGCACAAAAAGCACTTTGACAGTAGGGAGCAATTAAGCGCTATAAAAGCTGGCATTTACTTGGAATGAGTAATTTGTTTTTAAGCCTGGAGGAATGCATGTGTGTTCATTTAATGGGGACATTCTGTCACACACGGAGTTGTGCAATCAAAAATGCATGAAAACACGACTCACACATTGCCCAATGCATTTTAATGGAATGGTTATGAAATCTATAAATCAGGACGAGGTCATCAGAAATGATTATACTTTATAATGTTCGTCCACAGTGATGCATATGTGGGTAATAAAGTAGATTTGATACACACGTTTGAGTTTAATTGTTTTTATATAGTTCCATTTCTTGTTGTGTTCAGATATTTGGCAGTATCACAATCTACCACACGGTGGCGCCAAAGAAAAGCAGGTAAAATAGCTTTTAAAACAGGCGTGTTGGAAAAGTGGGAAAACCTTTTGGAAAATTGACTATCGAGGACTTACTTGTAAAATAACAGTTTCTAATTACACTTTTATTGTAGCCTACACCCTGTTTTTCATCACATTTGCTTGATTTTCATCAACAAGCCTGGCCAACTGCTACAAAAAGCTTCATTGTCTTCCCGGAAACCCTCTCCAATATGCTGAAGTAGAAACTATCTGAGTGAATTCCTGAACTTGAGTACTGCTGTTCCTCCTCCTCCACCTCCCCCCTGCATTCAAACTCCTCAGCGCTCCCACAGACGCGGTCAGGGTGGCAGGCATGAATCCTCTCTGTCAGTAACTCCTTAAACTTCTCTGTTTTTTGGTCATCATTTCGCTAAAAATGCGCTTTTCGGACAGCTCAGGCGTAAAGAGCACGTCCAGAGTGATAGGTTAGGAGGTAAGTTTAACTTTTAACCTGCTTTTAGTTTCTCCTGGTAATCAGAAACAGCACCTTGCCTCATAAATAGATTAAAAACAACACTAAAATCTGGTGCCTTGTTGTTTCCTGTTTGGACTTCTACAGTAACTGCTCGTCATCTCACCAGTTTGTAATTAGGTCATTTCACTATGATGAGTAAATACAAAAAGATCTGTCTTGACTGGTTTGCCTTCTGTTTTCTGACCACATGTGTCTTGTCTGTAGTTGTGTCTGCTCCAAGTCCCTGTTAATGAGTAAACGTTTGGAATTTGTACACTGTCCTGAGCTCTTGAATGCTGAGTGGTGTTTTTCCTCTTGTGCATCTCAAGCGGAGGATATCTGCTCCCCAAAAGGGCTCTGTAGTTTGCTCCAGCCTGGAAGTTCAGCCACAAACGGCAACGAGGACTCGCAACAACTATGGATATTGGCAGCGATGTCGATCTGTCCAATAATAACATCACGCCTTTGTGGAAACTGCGTACAGACCACCGTAAAAGCTCCCTGGACATGAGCAGGTCTAAGCAGCGGCCCGTTAGTTATCGCATAAACGGGGTCATGACTGCTGATGTCCCTGTGGAGGACAGCCAGCCAGCTGAGAGACAGGCGGGATCAGCTCAGTCTGCTCACAACAACACCGCGGTGATGAAGCACGTTTTACAGAAGCCCTCAAGGAAAACCAGAGTGGTTCGGAGCATAAGCATAGGCCATCTGTCCAGTGGGCGATTCTCTCTGGCCAAATTTAGATCTGACAATAACAAATCTGCTTCACTGGACAACAAAGTGTGTAATGGAGACAGTGGCAGAGGGAATACCAGTAATGGACAAGCTGTATTGTCTGAAATCACCTCCAGTCCCAAGAGTCTCAGCTTACAGAGAAAACAGAATTCATTTTCATCCGAAGCTGATCCTTTCAGCTGTTCTACAAATGTCAACAACAACAACTATGAAACATTTTCACGATCCTCTTCATCGAGCTCCTCACCGTCATCACACGGTACCCTCACACCCTCCAACAGCTCCACGTCCAGCATCCCCTCACTCTTGTCTTTGACCTCCTCTGACCCTTCCACTCCTCGCTCCCCCTCACCAGCAGACCGAGGATTTTCCCTGGTCAGGCAGTCTCGGACATCTTCCTCCTCACAAGACGCCCTGAATGTCTCATCGTCCTCTTCCATCTCCTCCACATCGCCCTTACCATCACTATCCCCAGCTGTCTCGCCTTGTCCGTCGATCATCCTGAGCACCAACAGCGCCGCCGCTTGGAAAATGGGCACCCAGCAGCTCATCCCCAAAGGCTTGGTGTCTGAAACTCGGCTGAGTAAGGCGCATCCTTCTGGAACACAGAGCCAGGGTATGACCAGGCTGGGGTTAGACCTTCCCAAGCGAGGGCAAAAAACACTCAGCATGGTGGAAACGGGAGGCTACTTTTCTACTGGAGGGGGCCACTCTGAAGAGGCAGACAGAGGGAGTGAAAGCCCCCTTTCAAGGAAAGGTTTGAGGAGTACCTCTTACAGGAGGGCAGTTGTGAAGGCAGAAGAAACGGAAATACCCTCCGTAGATCAAATGACTCATCGGTTGTCACAACCTGCCATTAGCGGGCTTACTTTGGCTATCCCAAGTTCTCCTGATAGCCCATCACATCCTGTCACCTTGAGCCCTTCGAGTCCTGGAGCAGCCATCCCTACGAGCCCCAGCACACCTAAAACTGCCAGCCCCAAGACTCCAAAGCCTCCGAGCCCTCAGGTGGAAAAATCTAAAAGCAAAAGCAAGAAACTGGTAGGTACATCTGTTATCCAAAGGAATGCTTGAACATAATTGTCTTGAGACGCCTGCATTAGTTGGACCAACTTTGAAAGGTCTTATTGAGATTTTTATTGTTTTAATCTTCATCAAATTACATTTTCCCTCTTAATTTGTTGTAAAGAAAGTTTAATACAACATTTCGCTGTTTGAAAAGTTCTTATGTCTAAACTTCATTCTGATAATCCTAGCATAACCTGTATACCTTTGTATTTTCCTTAGCTTGAAACAAGTTATGTTTTGTCTTTGTCTCAGTTAATAACTCTGATGGCTTCTCTGTGTTGCACAAAGATTGCTTTGACAGATTTTCAGTATCAGAAGGGCTAAAGTCCGAATTATAAAACCACTGCACAAGCTGACCATTGTGGAACAAACTTAGCAGCGGCAGACGTGAGGACAAGGCCTCACAGGGAAACAATTAACTTGTTTGTTGGAAGACCAGACGCAACGAGACGCTACGTCTAAACAAACACACTTAAAAACACACTGACTCTGTCATTAAATATGTGTCAGGAAAGGAGGTCAAGAACAGCTGGTGTTTTGGTCCCATGGAGTTTAAAGTTGTGACACTTTTCTTGTAGACTCTAAATAAGAAGAAACTCTTGATAGCTCAGCGGACGTTTGACAGTGAAGGTGAGACGCAGTCATCTTACTCTTCTTTGTGATCAGTGCGCTTCTTCATCTTTAGTTTTTTTTTCCCCTTTTTTCAGAGGAAGAGCTTTACCAGAACTACCAAGAGAAGGCTTTGCATAATGATTCCGATGAGGACGCCTATTCCAGGGAACCCAAACCTGATAACGGCATTGTCGTGCAGTATAGACCAATACGTACTTCTTGGAGCCAGCTCAGCGTGGTTAGACACAACACACACACACACACACACACACACACACACACACACACACACACACACACACACACACACACACGCACACGCACACGCACACGCACACACACCCTAACCCTAAGCAATGCCGTTTTATTCCTAACCCTAACCTCAACTAAAAGTGAATTCTCGCCATACCTTTAAAAGCAGGAATTGGGGGTTTTCTGCACTGTGGGGTGCCACCCACACGCTACAGATTCCTGCCTTCTCCTGATATCTTCTGTGCCCCTTTCTCTCCACACTTCACGCTCACTATCTCAGGGCTGTGGTGGAGAAGTTTTGGAATTCTAGAGCTTTGAAGAATGCTGTCACAACCAGTTTGGCCACACTCCCATACCCATCCTCCCACTGCCCCTGCTTTCCTCTGCCCCTCACTCAAGTTTATCAGCAAGGGAATGTCTTCCTGGGCTCCGGCCGGCCGGGAGTCAGACAGTCCGCCAGAGCCACAGGAAGTCCTGGAAACGCTGCCAGGCTTGATGCCAACATCTTGGCAATCCCTGTGTGCTCGTCAGACTCTAAATATTTTAGAAATGTTGCCTGTAGGGAGGCGCGTGGTGGCTGTGCATTTTGTGATATTGGAACGAAGGGACACCAAAAACTATCAGAAGCAGATGTGCCAATTTAGCGTCCGACTTAAAAATTCCTGTCTTATCTGATCGTTCGTTTGAAGTTGTTGGACTGGAAGCAGAGACTGGTGACGGAGTTAATTAGGATTCGTTTCCATTGCTTGGCACATGTGCACAGGCTTTAATGAATGGGAAATCAAACTGAAAGTAGAGAATGTTCTATTAGAACAATTTTCTTTTTGCTCACGTCAACAAAACACATATGAGGCTAATGATCAGTCAGACTTTAAGAAATGCTTCTCTTTTCCAACACAGCTGCAGTGTCGTTTGTGTTTCTCTGAATTTGACGCTGTACCAGTCTTTCAGATTGATGTCACTGTCATGGTGTGACAGCAAAATTAGCTTCAGTGAAGCCAAGAACTAGATGTACTGGTTGTTCATCAACCGAGTCGCACCTTGTTGGTAAAGCTCCTAGTACTCCTAACCCCTAACCCTAACCCCAGAAATCTTCTCAGAAGGTGGAGCTCACCTGAAAACCACCTCTTTAATGGCACATTCTTTTGGCAACAAAAGACATTTCCTTTAAATGATGACACCTTAATTGGTTGCGTTTCAGTCACACCCAGTTTAGTAAAAAAGTAGAGTGACTTCAATGAAATTCTGCAGCATATCTATGTCCTCCATTGGTATGCAGAGGCGTGGAGATTTCTAAAAATGAGAAAAAAAAGGGGGAAACACAAAGGCTAAATATTAAAATAACACAGAAGGAATTGAAAAACCATGGATGTTTGATCTGCTTCTGGTTTGTTAGTTTTGTTTCCCAGAAGCCAAAGGGCAGATAGTCCTGTGGAAATGATAGTGGCAGTACCACTTCCTCATGTCTTTATACCAAAGCAGGAGTAGTGGTGATAGTTTTAATAAAATGGTCCAGATTAAAGTTTGTAGTAAAATATGTCAAATATGAGGAAACTCCAGAAAGTGCTCAACATTCTCGCTATTCCAAACATGGATTTATTTTTTACTGAAAAAATAAAAATAAACTTATATACGTATACTTATACTTATACATATATATATATATATATACATATATATATATATATATATATATATATATATATATATATATAATGTATATAAGTATATATGGACAACGGCTTATTTCAATTAAACCTGTTTCTATTCAGCTTGCAAAGTGTTCCTTTCTTTTTCTCTGACTGAAACTTTATGCAGTCATGTGACAAATTTCAAGATCTGTTTTATTTTTCATAAATGTGTCCTGTTTAGGTCAGGAAGAGTGGCCTGTCTGATCAGCTGAGTCAAGAGGATCGCAAAAGACAGGAGGTGGGATTTAAAATTTGATCTAATTTTGTAAAATGGCAGTCATCAACTTCTACATCTAATGGAAATCATATAATGTCATATAATCATATGAAGTCATATAATGATAACTGCAAATCAATCAAATCTACAGGTAAAAGGGAAAATCAACCAAATCACTTTGTCAAGGACAAAAAAGATATTTATGATGATAAAGAAATCACTGATGAGTTCAATGATTTTTTTGTAAATGTAGGTAGTTTGATGGAGAACAAACCAATAATAGAAGATAAATTGACCACAATGGTTAGTACTGTAAATAGTATTGTCCCTGACAAAGTAGATAAAGAAGAAATACGAAACATTGTAAACAAACTGTGGAAACAAACGATCAACCGATTGTCAGGACCTGGACATAACTGTTAAAACCATCATAGTCATTGATCCATTCACTTACATTTGTAATCTATCACTTTCTACTGGAAATTTTCCTGACACAATGAAAACAGCGAAAGTCATTCCTTTGTACAAGAGTGGTGATAAACATAGTTTCAATAATTACAGGCCGATGTCATTGCTTCCACAGTTTTCTAAAATATTGGAAAAAGTATTTGTATCAAGGTTGGATAAATTCATCGAAAAAAATAATATTTTAAACAATGAGCAATACGGGTTTAGAACTAAACATTCCACAGCAATGGCGATAATGGACTTAACGGATAAAATATCAACAGCAATTGACAATAAAAATGACTTTGTTAGTGTTTTCATTGATTTGAAAAAAGCTTTTGACGTCATTGATCACTCAAGGTTACTTCGGAAATTAAGTCAGTATGGAATAAGAGGTGTGGCTCATCAATGGGTTAAAACTTATTTAGAAAAAAGGAAGCAGTTTGTTCAGATAAAGGACCATGAATCAAAACTATGTGAAATTAATTGTGGAGTGCCACAAGGGTCGGTTCTCGGACCAAAACAGACTATTTTGTTTATTAACGACTTGGTAAATGTATCTAAGACACTCGGTACCATTCTATTTGCAGATGATACAACACTGTTTTACTCAGGATCAAATATTGAGAAGGTGGCTAATGTGATAAATGATGAACTGATTAAAATTAAAAACTGGTTTGATATAAATAGATTGACACTGAATCTTAATAAAACAATTGTTATTCTGTTTAATGATAAAAAGAACAGTGATGTGTCATTGGAAATAGATGGGATTGCAATTCAAAGAGTAAAAGAAACTAAATTTTTTGGAGTTCTTATTGATGAAGACTTGACATGGAAATCCCATATTAGTTACAGAAAAGGTAAAATTGCCAAATCCTTAGGAGTATTCCATAGAGTCAAGTTTTTACTGTCTAGTTCTGGTTTGTTGGCATTGTACGATTCACTGATTGTTCCATACTTGACTTATTGTGAAGAAATCTGGGGAGCAACATACAAAAACTATACACAACCCTTATTTATTTTACAGAAAAGAGCTCTGAGGATCATCAATTATAGTGGCTGTAGAGATCCATCGAACCCATTGTTTATTAAATATAAATTACTGAAAATTCATGATTTAAAAGACTGGAAAATCATACAAGCCACGTATAAAGCCAATTTAGGTACTCTACCAACAAACATTCAGGGGATATTTGAAAAGGGAACCAGTAATTACATGCTGAAAGAAACTGATGTGTTTACAAAACCTAGATTTAGAACTAAAATAAAGGAGTGGAATATATCTGTAAATGATGTTAAATTATGGACTAACCTTGAAAGGGAAATAAAAAAAACTATGTCATTTAATATATTCAAAAAATGTACCAAATTGAGTGTACTAACTAATTATGAAAATGTAAATTAAATCAACGATCATGATCGCACTGGAATTTAGAACAGGAAAACGTTTAAAATGAGTATGTGTGTCTGACAAATGGTAATTATATATAAATTGATTATTTCTACTGGAAAAGGGGGCAGAAATTATAAGATGTTTTTCTTCATTCTGCTCCTTTTCATTCAAATTTGATTTTTTGTTAAGTATTTCTTATTGCTTATATGTTTTATTTGTTTTTATTTTGAATGAAATAAATGAAAAAAAGCAGAAGTGACAACACACATTACACTCTATTAATTTAAAAATGGAAGGGAGGAATGATAAAACAAGTTATTTTTAATCAGACTGAACAGGTTCATAGATAAATTTAGGTGTAATTGATTTAACATTCCAGACATGACTGAGGTCTGCAGGTACGAGACATGATGGAGTTGAAACCAAACCCCTGCTTCTCTCTTTGTTACGTTTCATGTCTTGTTTTTTTTTTCCTTCTTCAGGCCATCTTTGAGGTCATCTCGTCAGAGCACTCTTACCTCCACAGTTTGGAGATTCTGATCCGCATGTTTCAAAACTCAGCAGAGCTCAGCGAGGCCATGACTAAAATTGAACACCACCACCTGTTTTCCAACATTTCAGATGTCTGTGAAACCAGCAAAAAGTACGTTTGCAATGACTTTTATTTTATGGTTATTCCACCAGCTGGTTGACATTCATTAGTGTTCACCATCAGTTACTTGTTTATTTTTGAAACACAACATGGAAAACTATTCAGTAGGTAAAATTCACTTGGTTCAAACTGAATAAGGAAGGCATTTAAACCTATCCCTAACCCATAAAAATAGTGTGTGTGTGTGGGGGGGTGGGGGGTGGGGTGGGGTGGGGGTGGGGGGTTGTATTTGTACCCTTGTGAAGACCAGATTTGGGATATTTACTAACCTTCTTACGACCGATGGTCCTTGTTAGGACCAAAACCCGGTCCTAATATGGAGTACTCCCTAGGGGTGAGGTTTACAGATAAATGTGAATTGAGTTTTTGTTACAGATAACTTTAGGAATACACTCGTTACGGTTAGGGTTAGGCATAGTGGACTCACTAAAATGAATGGAAGTCAATGCAAAGTTCTAACATGGGTACAAATACAAGAATGTGTGTGTGTGTGTGTGTGTGTGTGTGTGTGTGTGTGTGTGTGTGTGTGTGTGTGTGTGTGTGTGTGTGTGTGTGTGTGTGTGTGTGGTCAGATGTTCACTGACAGAAAACAGAGAGCTCAAGCAGGCTGGCAGTAATTTATATAATGGTGCCACCAGAATTTAAGAAGAGTTTAATTTTCCATCACTGTTTAAAATTGGTCTTAGTTTATATTTCTTCAGTCCGTTTTAATCACATTGTCCATTAAAGCAGGAGTTTTTTTATATTAGATTAGTGGTGGTCATAGTTTATAAATCTGAATTAGAACCAGGTGGGGCTGTTTGACAGGAACAGGACAGTTTTCTGCTCCTCTGCCCTACCGATAAAAATGTGGAATTACAACTGTTGTAAACAACCCTGCTGTAGCTAGCGCTAACACCGAGCTAACACTAACATGAGCCACCTAATACGTAGCCTCCTTTAAAGTGACAGTGTGCATTTTATCTGGCGATAAGAGTAGTCGATACCTAAATCGTTGCAAGCAAGCAGTATTTTTGTGTTGGAGTAAGACCTTTCCAACAGATGCCCATTAGGGTCAAAAAGCCATGGGGAGTGCAAACTTTAGTAAAATGACAAGCACATCAGACTCCTTTTCATCACTGGCAACATGTGAAGAGGTAAATGTTTACAACAGCAACGTTTATTAATGACAAAAGTTGTGTAACCATTTGTTACAAATCATTATTTTTGTCCTCACTGGCTCCCATAGAAGGAAACACGGCATCTAAAATGGCGTCACCCAGAGACTTACACCCGCTCCCATGTGTTTTAGACCTGATTTTTATGGTTATATGTTATGAAGCCGTCAATATTTTTCAACAACTGGGCATCATTTCATTTATTTTCAACAACATTTTGATGGACATTTCCAGAAATTAATGGTAAAAACTACACATTGTCACTTCAACTCCCTCAAACTAGCATATGCGACGCTGATGTTCACTCTGGTTTTAGCTCTTTGCTCCACCTCCAAATACATTGCTCTTACTTTTACTTCCAGGCTCCACCATGATACCACCAGAAAAAGCAAACTTCTGCTTTTTCTCCTATGTGTGCTTTTCATTGATGATCGTTCAAAATGAAAAAGCTAACGACTAGCATAACTGCTAATAGCCATAAGCAAGTTAAGAGCTCCCCCCATGGAACACCTACCCGCTCCACAAAACTGTCAAGCGCGGTTTCTGGTCAGCAGAGGGCTGCAGAGTGGTGTCAAAAATTAAACTGGTCAAGAATCTCACGCAACGATCACTCAGTGTGTTTACATGCAGCCAGTAACCCTTTTAAAACCCAAATATTCACAATAACCCGGTTCCGCAGGTCCTTGTAAACACCGCCAAAAACCCGGATATGCTCATAACCGGGTTTTTAAAACCCGGTTACTATACCTGGGGTAACCCTTTTCTAACCCGAATGTTTGGTCATGTAAACGCATAACGGGATATCCCCATCGACGCGTGTGTTCTGCGCATGCTCTGTTCGCAAAGAATCTTGGTCTTTTGAGTAGCAAGACGTCTTGTACGCGCCAGAACTCCGGAAGTAAACAACAAGTTGGGGGCAAAATGGTGAGTCGCGGCACAGCACCACACTTTGAGTGACGAGGAAACTAAAGCGCAAACAAACGCGGTCGCTATCTCTTCCGAACTGGGAAACATGTTGTTGTTTTCACGGATACCAGGACAAGAAGAACCGGAAATGACGCATATTGCGTCTGGACGTAGTCCATACGTCCTGACGCTACCCCAACGTCCGCATTTAAATCGGGTTATGCAAGTTAGAGGTAACTCTTTTTATTTATGCTTGTAAACAGGTTATTCTGATCAACTCAGAAACCCGAATCTCGACCTTAACCCGATCATAACCCGGATATTGGCTGCATGTAAACGTACTCACTGAGATCATTGTGAAAGCTCTAGATCAGGGGTGTCAAACTCAAATTCACACTGGGCCAAAATGAAAAACTGGGACGAAGTTGCGGGCCAAACTCAATAGTTTTTTTAAAGTGACGGTAAATGTGCATGGTTGTACCTTTTCATTTAATTTGCCTATTTTTAAAGTAGGTGAAATCTTTTTTGACAGACCAACAAGATAAATAAAAAATAGTAATTCTCTCAAATGAAAATGCAATATCTCACCTATTAACTTTCATGCTTTGGAGCAGAAAAGGTTAATAAAACCAAAATAATTCAATCCCAGTTTTCTCCACTCTGATTTCCTGTGATGCTCACCTGTGCCAGCCAGACCTGCATCTGTGGGGTTGGGCTCTGAGCTGAGGAAGGAGTTCATCAGTGAGAAACAGTTGCTCACACAGGTTTGTGCTGCTGGACATGGAGAGCATCTGGACCACGCAGTTGTGTCGGGGACGGGGATAAAAGCCGCAGCAGCCACGGAGTCATACAGACTTGAGCGTGCTGGAAAACTGGAGTTAAATAATCTCGGTCTGGAAGTTGGTCGGTGCGCTTTCTATGTCAGCAGCAAACAGATTACTGAGCTGTTAAAACCCATTTCTGGGCTTCAAAGTCGTCTAACTGCTGAGTAAACTTGGCGCTGAGTAAGAGGAGTGCTTTCAGTTTGTCCGAGGCAGAGGAGGTAACGCTGCAGACACTGATGCTAGTAGCATGGACGCTAATGACTGTACGGGGGAGTGCAGAATTAATAGGCAAGTTGTATTTTTGAGGAATAATTTTATTATTGAACAACAACCATGTTCTCAAAGAACCCAAAAAACTCATTAATATCAAAGCTGAATGTTTTTGGAAGTAGTTTTCAGCTTGTTTTTAGTTTTAGCTATTTTAGGGGGATATCTGTGTGTGCAGGTGACTATTACTGTGCATAATTATTAGGCAACTTAACAAAAAACAAATACATACCCATTTCAATTATTTATTTTTACCAGTGAAACCAATATAACCTCTCCACATTCACAAATATACATTTCTGACATTCAAAAACAATACAAAAACAAATCAGCGACCAATATAGCCACCTTTCTTTGCAAGGACACTCAAAAGCCTGCCACCCATGGATTCTGTCAGTGTTTTGATCTGTTCACCATCAACATTGCGTGCAGCAGCAACCACAGCCTCCCAGACACTGTTCAGAGAGGTGTCCTGGTTTCCCTCCTTGTAAATCTCACATTTGATGATGGACCACAGGTTCTCAGTGCGGTTCAGATCAGGTGAACAAGGAGGCCATGTCATTAGTTTTTCTTCTTTTATACCCTTTCTTGTCAGCCACGCTGTGGAGTACTTGGACGCATGTGATGGAGCATTGTCCTGTATGAAAATCATGTTTTTCTTGAAGGATGCAGACTTCTTCCTGTACCACTGCTTGAAGTAGGTGTCTTCCAGAAACTGGCAGTAGGACTGGGAGTTGAGCTTGACTCCATTCTCAACCCGAAAAGGCCCCAAGAGCTCATCTTTGATGATACCAGCCCAAACCAGTACTCCACCTCCACCTTGCTGGCGTCTGAGTCGTACTGGAGCTCTCTGCCCTTTACCAATCCAGCCACGGGCCCATCCATCTGGCCCATCAAGACTCACTCTCATTTCATCAGTCCATAAAACCTTAGAAAAATCAGTCTTGAGATATTTCTTGGCCCAGTCTTGACGTTTCAGCTTGTGTGTCTTGTTCAGTGGCGGTCGTCTTTCAGCCTTTCTTACCTTGGCCATGTCTCTGAGTATTGCACACCTTGTGCTTTTGGGCACTCCAGTGATGTTGCAGCTCTGAAATACGGCCAAACTGGTGGCAAGTGGCATCTTGGCCCCTGTTGACTATTTTGAACGAAACGCTTGATTGTTCGATGATCACACTTCAGAAGCTTTGCAGTTTTAAGACTGCTGCATCCCTCTGCAAGATATCTCACTATTTTTGACTTTTCTGAGCCTGTCAAGTCCTTCTTTTGACCCATTTTGCCAAAGGAAAGGAAGTTGCCTAATAATTATGCACACCTGATATAGGGTGTTGATGTCATTAGACCACACCCCTTCTCATTACAGAGATGCACATCACCTAATATGCTTAATTGGTAGTAGGCTTTTGAGCCTATACAGCTTGGAGTAAGACAACATGCATGAAGAGGATGATGTGGACAAAATACTTATTTGCCTAATAATCCTGCACTCCCTGAAAAGACATACCGGTTTTTCTCCTTGAAGCATCAACATGTTCCATCTTTGTTGAAACACCTTCCTTCTGCATCAATCTTTCTCTTCCTGGACATTTTGAGACGATGTGTGGACAGTTATTTTCACTTGTTGCATTAATTAAACACGGAAGTGGATACACTGAGACCTAGTGGCGAGTCGCTGCACTGGGAACACAATCGCGATGCATTATGGGAAATGTAGTTTATAGCCAATGTGAAGCGGCACAGACTTCTTTTAAGACACTTGAACCTCTTGCGGGCCACATAAAACGATGTGGCGGTCCACATCTGGCCCGCGGGCCTCGTATCCGACACATGTGCTCTAGGGTATCCTGGCATAAATAAATACAGACGGAATTAAAAGTCTATCATTTCATTGAAGGAATGTGTATCAGGCACTCATGCCAAAGTTTAGCTAGTGTGACATAGTTCTAGCAATTTATAGCATAGTTTGTAAATGTAAACAGTTTAAAATACAACCCATCAAATGTTCTGATTACATTAACGCCAAGCTCTTTACCATCATGCTGCTGTTAAATGTGGGGTAATAACAGCATAAAGAATTTCATTTCTTGTACCCAAGCATGACCATTCGCCAGGAGCTAAAAAGAATGCATCTTTTGCACTGACACTACAGTTTGTAATGGTGGCAAAAGTCTTTGAAGTATCAGTCACCCCCCAACCAGAGCCTGATTTCACCCACACTTCCTGTCCGAAAAATGCACCTAAAGGAGGCATCATCAGGCGGACTGAGAGGGCGGAGCTGAGGCAGTGACTGCCAATACCCCCCCCCCATCCCCCCCCCGAGTTTCTCTGTAAGACAAATGAGCTGTTAACAAGTACACACACACACACACACACACACACACACACACACACACACACACACACACACACACACACACACACACACACACACACACACACACACACACACACACACACACACACACACACAGCTCCGTCGGAGGAGCAGAGAAACTGCAGTACGCTTTTCTCTCCACCTCGTACACTAGAAAAAAGGGAGGAGGGCAGCAGCTCTGAGCCGTATCGTTATTGTTTCATATTGGCTTGCCAGTGACTGAGCCAGCTGGAGGCGTGGCCAAGCCAGCTGGAGGCGTGGCCAAGACTCAGCTGCAGTACATAGCACTGCCTCCAGGCAATACAACACCGGCAATGTCGGTGCCTCTTAGCCAGTAGCGACGGCTGACTCAGATTAAATGTAGAGCACAGTTTTAACCTGAAGGGGAATAAATAATGACTATATCCACAGCACCATTAGACACGCATTTATACAGTTTATCAGCAAAAAAAAAAAAAGTTGATTTGGGGGTGACTTGCTCTTTAATGTTTTAGTTTGACACAGGCTCAAGAATTCAACATGAGATCTGCATCCGCCTTTTGAAAGGAAAGAGTTTTTAGTCCTGTGCGGTCATGCATCATATTTCCTTACACTATATTTAGTCACATCTGATAGCTTAAATATTTTTTGTGATTATCGGATAACATCTTGTCATGGATAGAGATTTCTGAAAATTCCTGAAATATTCCGCCTTGTGTTTGGACATGCTGCGACCCATGTCACTCCCGTTTTTTTCTCCCAAGTTTTCTTGCTTGTCTTTTGTTTATTTATTATTTATATGCAGTTTGTGTTTTCATCTTCAGGGCTTGACCTACTTCCTGTCCTGCTTGATAAAATGCATCCACTTATCTGTGGCTGAATTGTAACGATTGATGCAGAAAATTGGTTTTCTTTTTTCATCCTGCACATTTCTGATTTAACTCTTCCAGTTCTTGGTGGAAACTTGCTCCCTTTAGCTTCTGTTGGGTTATTTTGCCTCAGAGGAGAATGCAGCATGACGTTTTGCTGACTTGACTCTTTGAAAATGACAAAAATGCCTTTAGAATACGGACCAGGAGCACCATGTACTTTTTTGCTATTCCCATTGCATGTGCTTGGTTTTATTAGGGACAGTAACGAGTGGAGCATGAACTTATGGGCTTGAGGAGCCCTGCTTCCCAGAGACAACCAAACCACAGTGGGATTTGTTGGGGCTCTGATGTTTTTGCAGATGATCTGACAGCTGCTCCATCTGGTCAGAAGCAGCATCCTGGGTCTGTTCACCAGTTTTCCTGTTTGACACCTGAGTTAATACGTGTAAAAACACTTATTCTCTTGAAGCTGAACAAATGGTCAGTTAACGGACCATCTGGTGGCGTTCAGGAAGAGGAAAAGTCTCCATGTTGCAGACTCGTCTCTATTTAAAGGGTTCCTTTTGTGAGGTGTCGTCGGTGCTTCTCACCTTCCTGACTTTGTGTATTTTCCTCTCCTTGCAATGACTCATGATTTGATGATTCTTTCCTGCCTTGTATGGTACGAGTCCCCGACCTTGATTGTTTCATCGCCGCCTCTGTGTTCAGGTTCTTTACGGAACTGGAGGAAAGACACCAACAGAGCATCGTCATCGATGACATCAGTGACATCGTTTGTAAGCACGCCGTGTCCAACTTCGATCCTTACGTCACCTACTGCTCTAATGAAGTCTATCAGCAGAGAAGCCTACAGAAGCTGGTGTGAGTAAAGCGAATTTGATCCAGCATGCCGGCGGGCTCTCCCTCCCTCCTCTGACCCGGCAGCCGCCTCCTTCCCTTTCAGCAGTGCCAAGAATCCGGCTTTTAAGGAGGTGTTAACCAAGATCGAGGGCCACCCAGATTGCAAGAGCCTCCCTATGATCTCCTTCCTCATTCTGCCCATGCAGAGGATCACCCGCCTGCCTCTGCTCATGGACGTGAGTGAGCCCCACAGCAGTCCAGATGTTACGCAACTCTTTGTTTATTTGATTTTAAGCTGGGCGTGTTCCAAGCCCAAATACGTTTGTGTGACCTTGCATCATTTTTAAAAAAACTAAATGATTTAACTCCACTTTCCCTCTTTTAATGCTTTTTTGTCCTCTTCACTTGCATGTTTTTGTTGGCGGTGGAAATTTTTAGTGTCTCCAAGCCTTATGTCAGTGTCCCCCTGAGGGACTCTGGTGTTTACGCTCATTTCCCTGAGAAAGTGATGTGTTAGTTCATTTCTTCCCACAGCCTCTCTATTTTATCAGGCTTCTGATGGGAGTGTGGTAAATATGAGGGGAGTGGGATGAGTTGATGATCCGTGAATTTGTTCTAGATGTATATTTATCTTAAAACTGATCCTGAATTCCTGTTTTACAGACAATCTGTCAGAAAACCCCTAAGGACTCGGCACGATATGAAGAGTGCAAGAGGGCATTGCAGGCAGTCAGCAAGGTCCGTAGGTTTTTTTTTTTATTAAAATATTTTAATGACTTGAAAACATCTGAAACTGTGAGATGAAAGTAACTTTTTCTGCTATTTTATTTAATGTTTTTAAAGAATACGTAGTCTTAGAAGAGAGTTTGCTTAACAAATCGAATAAATCTAAATTAGTCCTTTTTCTGATGGCAGGAAATGAGATAAAAGCAGCCAGTAGATGCTCTTAACTGTCATTAATGATTCATCAACTTATCTTTTGCTGCTGTTTTACTAAAATAAAGGTGGTGAGTTTACAAAGTACTGATCCTAAACAAGAATTTAAATAACTGGTTTCATTTTTCACAACAAGGAAGTTTGTAATATATATATATATATATATATATATATATGTATATAGTTGCAGAAGGTAATTTGAGTTCATTTTAAACAAATTATTCCAGCTGTTTTGACTAAATTTCATAATACCAGTGAAATTATTAGTAATTAGTAGGGATGAGTGAGTACACCACTATCTGTATCTGTATCTGTACTCGGAGTGGGCGTGGCCTAATCCGGAAGTGGGTGTAGTTTAACCAGATGTGGGCGTGGTTTACATCAATACGTTATTTTAAGTCTGATCAGAAGTTGCTATGTGTATTGTTTATTTGAAAACTATTTACAGAGCAGCCTCAGAGTTTAGATTAAATGTTTTTTGATCACAATAGTAAAGGAACTGTTACAGAACAAGTTTTTCAATAAAATCAGAACATTAATATTTAAGTGCATGAATTAAGAGAGAGAGAGAGAGAGAAGAAAAGATCTTTTCTATAGCCCCTCTCAAGATAAAAATCACAGGGCGCTTCACATAAACAAAACATGTAAAATAGAAAAAATAATTTAGAAAATGATTAAAATATATTTAAAATGAGCAAAAAATAGACAATTGTGATTAAAAATGTAAAGAAAGAGAGAGAGTGAATAGGAAAGAGGGAGTGGATCCTGAGGAAGAGGAGAGAGAGAGAGAGAGGGAAAAAAAACCCCGACCGGAGCGGAGGCGGTGACTGACGCAGCACGAGCCGTTTTCAGCTCTGTCTTGTCAAATGCACCACGTACGTTACAAAAAAAGTTACTTTAAATAACTTTAAAAAGAAGCAATCTGAAGAAAACATAGGGAGTACTGAAGAAACGTGAACAGTGAAGCAAGCACAGAGAGATCCGTTACTGTCTGTGTTTGTGCATGGATGAACCGGATGCGGACTGAGCTGTGAGCTCCCGGCTGCAGAGTTTTGTGTGTAGGGAGGGGCGGGCGCTCTATGTGACTGGCCAATCACAGAGTGTGAACACAGTCAGTTACCCAATGAGGATTTTCCTTCAGCACGATTACAGATATTTACGAGTTTTTCTAGTTTCATGCTCGTACTCGTCAAAAATGCTTTATCCATACCGGTAAAAATGATCAGATTTAAGTGCAGTTAGACAGCTTACTAGTGCATCTCTAAATAGCCCCTGGGATTTGTGGTAATTTACCATGACATCACTCGATGAAACACAGATTGAAGTTGTTTTGGTGGATCATGTTTGTGTGTGAGCAGGTGGTACGAAAGTGTAACGAAGGCGCTCGCACGATGGAGAGGACAGAGATGATGTACACCATTAACTCCCAGCTGGAGTTCAAGATCAAGGTACGGATGTAGCATAAAACGCATCAGGAGCCCAAATCAACACTAAACATGGTTAAATGTTTGTTCTGCACCCTGGGGTTACCAGTCAGGTGGATGGTTAATCAGTTATTTTATTGCATTGTGTGATGTGCACTTCTTGAGATTTATTGCATTTTATGCTCCTTTGTATTACTTTCTGGATTCAAGGAAGATAAGTGAAGCAATTTTCACTGATGCAGGCTTTTACTTTGAAAAGTAGAAATCCCAAAAAAGCAGCAAGTTTTCTAAATGAAGAACAAGTTCTCTGAGAAACAACTTATTAGTTTTTCTGTTTGAAATACAATCAGTCACTCTGAGTCTTGCGTGCAGGCTGAACGTGAAAATAATCTTCTACCGCCATTTCCTGCATTTGATGCCAAAATAAAACAAACTGGGAAACACTTGAGTCAGAAAAAGCCAGTCAGATCTATGTCATGCATTTATGGACTCACACATCTTAATACACAACCAGGAAGGCTGCATTGATTTAGTGTCCTGGAGAGAGCAGAGCATGTCGACGCTCATAGAAGCTAACCGTTAGCAATAGCAACTCCACATTATGGCAGAACTCCTCCAGGATTGCGTTATTTGTGAAGATAAAACATCAACTTTGCAAAGCAAACAGAGTCAGATGCACAGATGTACTTGTTTCAGGAAACAACAGAATGCCACATCAGAGCAGGGCTTCAGACGACGGATTTGGAGTCTTATTTCCTGATATTTGGACATCTTGCCTTCGACTGGCTAACAGCAATGCAACTCTACCACTGACTCTATTGCTCTGCGACGTTGATGTTTTTTTCTCCAAAAATAACAAAAGCCTGGATGATTTCTGCTGTGTTGTGGAGTCGCTAATGCCAACGGTTAGCTTCTATTAGCTGAGATGTTCTCTGCTGTTTCCTGGACGCTAAACCAACAACAGCCTTCCCCGTGACAAGCCAAGATGGGTGAGTCCATGAATGTTAAGTGACTGTGACATAGATCTGTCAGGCTTTTATAATCCTAGAGTTTCACCCATTGACGTAATTTTGGGGGGAGACAGGGGGGACATGTCCCCCCCACTTTTTCCAAAGTCAAGTTTTGACCCCTGCACTTTTTACCATCCATAAACAATATTACACTGTATTAAATTGACACTGGTTGAGCTCTAGGACCAAGCGGAAAACAACCGTTTGTATTGAAGCCTGTTTCCCATTAGAGCATACTGTAAAGATACGTTCCCCCCCCCCCCCCCTCCCCCGTGTCCCCCTCACTTCTAAAGTGAAAATTACGCCCATGGTTTCACCGTCTGTTTTTTTTATCAGAAGCTAATGCAGGAGATAGGTGTAGGAGACTATTTTCATATTCAGCCTGCATGAAAAACTAGTGACTGATCAGTGACTGATCATAATCAGAAATAAAAGGTAAAAAAATGGCTTTCCAGTGTTCCACACCTTTTAAATCTTTTTATAGATTTTTAGTATTTCTCCAAATTTGAAATGATGTAAATACTGGACAGTAAAACAAACCACGATGGACTATCGTGTACAAACATGCCGATGGGGTACTGGAAATGCTTTACACCATTGTTTTTACATTTGTCTGCCACTACACACACAAGACTCTGCACGTTCAAGTGCGCCTCACTAGAGTGGGACAAAGCTGTTGGGACATTTGGGATTCCCAGATGTCTGGAGATTATATTCCCCTCTGCGCAGACAGCTGATTCTCTCTCAAACTGATTTGTTATTATTAAATAGGCCCAACGTCAGAGAGGTTGTCCCATCTGTTTGCTCTTCTCCTCCTCCAGCCCTTCCCCCTGGTCTCGTCCTCCAGGTGGATGGTAAAGAGAGGAGAGCTGACCGCTTTTGGGGAGGACAGCGGCATCTTCTTAAAGCGCACGTCCCGGCATCAGGTCTATTTCTTCCTCTTCAACGATGTGCTGATCGTCACCAAGAAGAAGAGGTGAGGAGGACAAGTGTGGGATTACTGAAGGTGAAAGCTCAACCACAACGTTTGCCTTTCGCTGCGTCCCACTCAGATCCTGAAGGCTTCGTGTTTGAGCTTGCTCAGGGAAACCATTATTTGAAAGGAGAAGTTGTGAGAAAAAGAAGTGAGAATTTTATGCTGTTAGTTCCGTAATCTTTGTGGTTTGGAATTTGAAGCGGAGTAACTTGTAGAAAACAGAGCATTAGCTTAGAGATGTGACTTGAGGTTCAAATCTGGGTTTTTAGGGTCACAAAAGACCACACATGTGCATGCACGACCCCCGATTAGCTTGTGATCCCAGCTAATAGACTAATACATATGTTAGATCTCATCTTCTCTGTTCTGCCTCACTTTCTTTTCATTTTCTCACACAAATCATTTCATGTTTTCCAAACTTCATTAAATAATTTCTGTGCATTTGTGTCATTTCCAAAGAATTTACAAACACGATTTAAAATCCCAAGGAAAGGCTTTTTGAATTTTATACCATATAAAAGACTCCTTTTAATAAAGGTGTGAGAAACTTGGAAAAAGCCCAGAAACGTCTGCCTCAGCAGGGTTGAGCTGAACACGGCAGGATTTGGACTCATTTCCTGATATCTGGACATCTCGCCTGTGATTGGCTAACAGCAATGCAACTCTGTTTGCAACGCTGACGTTTTGTCTCCACAAATAACACAAACTTGGAGGAGTTCTGCTGCGTGGTGGAGTTGCCAATGCTAACAGTTAGCTTCAGCTAGCCGAGATGTTTTCTGCTGATTCTGGATGCTAAAACAACAGCCTTCCCCGTCGTGAGTCTTACGCCGGGGACACACTGGCCGCGGAAGCGCCGCGAAGCTCCGCGAAAATGGGACCGCCTTCATTCGGCGCCCTTGTTAAGCTATTCTATAGACCACATGGGTCGCCGAAGCGCCGCGAATCGCCTCGCGCCGTGCAGCGATCATTTCGGCGTCGGCTCTATTTTTTCGAGAGCCGCGGGTGAATCGCGTCAATTCTGGCAGGAAGTCAAACCTAGACATAAGAGGCAGGCCGGTAAAGTTAACAAAATAAAGCATTTCAAAATAAAATTCCGCGATAGTCAAATGTGTTCGTAATCAGACACTGCCGAAAAACTACACGAACACACACACACATCGAACTTGTGTGCGTGTGTGACCACGTGAAGGGGGGGTGTGGTTTTATGTCTTTTCACCGGAGCAAACAGGACAGAGAGGCAGAAAGTCTGAGGCAAGCAGTTAAGATGGATGACTTTAAATTAATTATGGAAGTTGAGAAACACAAGGAGCTGTACGACCCCCGAAAAACATGATTATTTACGTACCCATTTCAGAAGAAACTGCTAGGATACAGCTGCTTCTCGGCGCTTCCGCGGCCGGTGTGTCCCCGGCGTAAGCGATGGCTTGACGTAGATCTGTCAGGCTTTTTTAATCCTAGAGTTTCACCATCTTATTTTCTATCAGAAGCTAATGCAGGAGATGTAGGAGACTATTTTCATGTTCAGCCTGCATGAAAAGCCGAATATAATCAGAAATAAGATTTAGAAAATGTTTTTTCAGTGTTCCACACCTTTAAAACATACAGTAGTAAAGTATGATTCATTAAGTCCGTTTCACTTTCTGGCTTTCTTGACTTTTGTTTTTCGGACAGTTGTCCAGGTTTCCACTCGTCCTAATTAGAAATCCTGAAATCTTTTCATCGTTCTCATTAAGGAATGTTCTCTTCCGTTTCAAAGTAAATAAAGGTTTTCATAGAAATTATGTGGTTTTAATCTTTGTTCGCTCATAAATTCTCAAATTCTTGTCAGAAAAACCCTTTCCTTCCATCTGATGGGTCTGGATCTGATTGTCATGCCTCGAAAATTTCCCAAGATTCCTTAAAAAAAAGATTCTACAAAACATTCCTGTATGATGTTTTTCTGAGAATCTGATCAGCTACAGACTCCGGCAGCGTGTTGGAAGGGGAGTGCTCTGGAATCTCTGTGTGTTTTAGTTGGAATGGGGTGGGGGCTGCAGCCGAGCTGAGGCGCGCTACTCCGCTGTACTCCAACTGCAGCAACGAAAACCAAAGAAACACACCCGGAGCTCATGAGGCCAGCCACATACCGGCAGGTCACACAATAACTCAACAGCTCTTTCTCTTATCATTAAAGCATTTAACCCTTTTCACCTTCTTGTCTTGTTTTCACGTGATCGGACTTTTAGGAATCTTGTCAGAAGACTTTGTATTTACGCAGCAGAGAAAACCAAACATGCGCTGACCTTAGAGGCCCTCTGGAAAGTAAGAATGGTGAACTTGTTGAGTTTTATGCTATAAAACTATCACAGAATTAAGTAGATTTGTGCATTCAGACGACTACCATACTCGTGCAGTGTTTATTTAACAAACTCACTTCCTTGAATGACTTGATAGCAGGTCTAAATTTGGAGCCAACGATTGGAAAACCCTTGTGTCAAACCGGCTTGTCACGCACCAGGAAAGACCGTGCTGCTCTGCTGCTTGCAGGAACACTTATATAACACACCAGCTGGCTTCTTTCTGCTCCTCACTTCCCTCCTTTTCCTCTATAAATGAAGAGGTAAAGAATTCTGTTCAGCCATGATACGTTCCCATCACTTTCTGTGTTAGTGTTTGTGCGTGGGACGGCCTCCACTCTCCATGCAAAGCTGATCTGTTTGCAGAAATGCATCTGCCCGCCTCACCTGGACTCGGTCTTAGCATCTACCTGAGGATCAACTTCCTCACGTTGACCATTAGAGCAATTGGGGTGGGGTGGGTGGTAGGAAACTTTTAGGGTAGCCTCCGTCCGTTAGAGCGGGGCTGGGGGTATCTTCGGAGTGATATTGGAGGTGTGGCGTGAGTGTGTGTGAAGAGGGCCAGATGCGTGTGTCTCCCTGTATTCAGTCCGTAATAAATGAGTTTATTTTTTTTAAAGCCAAGTTCCCTGTGAAATCATTTTTTACTTGTTCCTTTAACATGCCTTACGTAAAAATAGTCTTCCACACATTTCCTGCATTAGCTGCTTATGGAAAATAGCCGGGGAAACGCTAGGCTTAGAAAAGCTGGTGTCATTCGCACGTCACATTGTGAAATTAGCATCCATGGATTCACCCTTCTTGGCTCACAATGAGAAAGGCTGTTGTTGGTTTAGCATCCAGGAGAGAGTAGAGCGTGTCTCGGCGAGTAGAAGCTAACTGTTAGCATTAGCAGCTCCACAACACAGTAGAACTTAGCCAGTCAGAGGCGAGATGTTCGAATATCAAATAATAAGACTCCAAAACCTGCCGTCTTCTGCTCACATCTGATCTGGCTCTTTTCTAGTCCCTGGAACAGGAGCGCCAGAGCTTTTTACAGTCCCAAGTGGTAGATATCTGTGATTGCAGGCGTGAACATTTAAGGAGGAAAAAAAGAAAAGGATCTTTTATACAGCTCCTCTCAAGATAAAAATCACGAGGCGCTTCACAAGAGCAAAACACTTTAAATATAAAACAGATTTAAAAAAAATTATTTAAAAAAAAATGGGTAAAATGAGAAAAGCTATTGTGATTAAAAATGTAGGGAATGGGAAAGAGGGAAATCAGTGGATCCTGGTAAAGGCGGAGTTGGTCGAAAGAGCAGTTAAGGAGAGGGTGGTGATGAAGGTCATGCAAAAGCCTGAACAGGTGAGTCTTCAGCTGTTTTCCAAAGGAGACCACTGAGTCCACTGATCTCAGGCTCAGGGGGAGAGAGTTTCAGAGTCTGGGGGCCACAGCAGCAAATGATCTGTCACCTTTGGCCTTTAGCCTGTAGGCTTGGGTCACTGGACCTCAGGGACCTGCTGGGGGTGTACGGACTGAGAAGATCACCAATGTATGATGGTGCTTGTTTATGTAAGACCCTATACACCACAACCAGGATCTTGAAATGAACCCTGAAGCGGATTGGCAGCCAGTGAAGCTGGAGGAGAAGCGGGGTGATGTGGGTGTGTTTGGAGGACTTGGTCAGGAGCCGAGCACAGGCATTCTGAACCACCTGTAGACGGTTCAGGGAGGTTCTGCTCAGACACGTGAAAAGAGACTTACAGTAGTCTAAGCGTGAGGAGATGAAGGTGTGGAGAACTGTCTCAAGTTCAGAGCGGGACAGAATGGGACTCAGCTTAGCAATGTTCCTGAGATGGAAGAAGGAAGAGCGAACGAGAGAACTGAGAATCCTTGGTGAGAGTGGGGTCAAAGGTCACACCAAGATTTCTGACAGAGGGTTTGGTGTGAGAAGCAAACTGACCAAGAGAGTCTCTGACCAGCGCCGGATTATCATTGCAGGGGCCCCTTCCTCCTCTTGACTCCTGTCTCATTCGTCCTCTTGTCTCCTGTTTCCTTCCTCCTCTTGTCTCTTGTCTCATGTCTCCTTACTCCTCTTTTTGTCTCCTCTTGTTGGTCTTCTCTCGTGCCTTCAGAAAAACTGCTTTCTGGCCTTTCTTTTAGTAAATTCATTCACAATGTCATCAAAGTCCAGATTCTTGACAAGCTGAGATTCAATTGCCATCAGTGACAGTGCACTGAGGCGCTGTTGAGTTAGTGTTGTTCTCAGTTCATTTTTTATTCTTGCCATTTGTGAAAATGATAGTTCCCCTTCACAATTTGTAACAGGTAGAGTTAGAAAAATCTGCAGGGCCACAAACACATTAGGGAAGATGGACTGTAGACTATTTTTTAGCCCAAAAACGATCCTGGTACTGCTAATATTAAATTATCTATGTGGACTCTCTGGGGATTATTTAGAGCTGAGAGGTGCAGAGGTCTGATTGTTGATGCGCTCCAGACAGTTGCGTCCTGAGCACGGCTGCAGTAACATTATCAAAGTGTCGCCACCTCAAAAACAAATTTAACACGTGATCTTTCATGTCGGTTCATATCCTTTCATGCTTTCTGTCTTATTTGTGTCTGATGTGTTTCGCTGCTGCGGAGCAAGCGCATCACATGTTTCATCCTCTGGTGACTTATATGTATATATGAAGCCAGGTAGCAGTTTTTCTTCAGGATTGAGAGGAAATGCAGGAAGATAAAAAACAGACAGGACAGAAAAATAGTTTGTTTTTGTACCTGGTAGCAACAAACAGACACCACTGAAGGTAATCAGAAGTGAGGAACAGAAAATGAAATGATTCTTTCAATGTTTAGATCAGCAGGAACTCATAGAGGCTGCAGGCGCATCAGTGAGTTTGCGACCGCTGCGCAGGGGGAGGGGGGAGAGAGCTGAAGCAGGCAGTAAAGATACAAAAACTACCGCTGTTAAAAGAAATGTGTGTTAACGTAGAAAATGCGGGCGCAAGTTGAATTACTTGTTAACTTTTTTCCTCCTTGAACCGTCACCTTATCGTGGTGGAGGAGTTTGATTGCCCTAATGATCCTAGGAGCTAGGCTGTCTGGGGCACTTTGTGCCCCTGGTAGGGTCTCCCATGACAAATTGGTCTTAGGTGAAGGGTGAGACAAAGAACGGTTCAGAGGATCTTTCATGGATGTACAGTCGAAGAGTCGGAGTACCCGGCCCGGAGGGTTACCGGGGTCCCACCCTGGAGGCAGGCCTGGGGTTGGGGCCCGTGGACGAACGTCTGGTAGCCGGGCTTTCGCCCATGGGGCCCGGCGGGGCACAGCCCGAACCTGATACATGGGCTCATCCAACTGTGGACCCACCACCCGCAGGAGGAACATGAAGGGTCCGGTGCAGTGTGGATCTGGTGGCAGACCGAGGCAGGAGCCTTGGCGGTCCAATCCCCGGACAAGGAAACTGGTTTTTGGGACATGAAACGTCACCTCGCTGGCAGGGAAGGAGCAGGAGCTTGTGGCAGAGGTTGAGGTTGAGTAGTACCGGCTAGATATAGTTGGACTCACCTCGACACTTACCATTGGCTCTGGAACCCAAGTCCTTGAGAGGGGTTGGACACTCTCCTTTGCTGGAGTTGCTCCAGGTGAGAGGTGGAGGGCTGGGGTTGGCTTTTTGTTAGCCCCGAGACTCTCTGCCTGTGTGTTGGGGTTTACCCCGGGGGACGAGAGGGTAGCTTCCCTGCGCCTTCGGGTCGGAGAACGGGTCCTGACTGTTGTTTGTGCTTATGGGCCAAGTATCAGTTCAGAGTACCCACCCTTTTTGGAGTCCCTGGGACGAGTGCTAGATAGTGCTCCATCAGGGGACTCCATTGTCCTGCTGGGGGACTTCAATGCTCACGTGGGCAATGACAGCATGACCTGGAGGGGTGTGATTGGGAGGAACGGCCCGCCAGATCTGAACTCGAGTGGTGTTTCGTTATTGGACTTCTGTGCAAGCCGCAGTTTGGCCATAACGAACACCATGTTCGAACATAAGGATGCCCATCGGTACACTTGGTAGCAGGGCAGCCTAGGTCGCAGGCCAATGATAGACTTTGTAGTCTTATCATCTGACCTGCGGCCGTATGTTTTGGACACCAGGGTGAAGAGAGGAGCAGAGCTGTCAACTGATCACCACCTGGTGGTGAGTTGGATCAGATGGCAGGGGAAGATGCTGCGTAGACCTGGCAGACCCAAACGCATGACCCAAATTACACAGCGGCGGAGCCCTGGGGGTGGATGAGATTCTTCCTGGGTATCTCAAGGCTATGGATGTTGTAGGGCTGTCGTGGTTGACACATCTCTGCAACATTGCATGGTCATCGGGGGCAGTTCCTGTGGAGTGGCAGACCAGGGTGGTGGTCCCCATCTTTAAGAAGGGTGACCTGAGGGTGTGTTCCAACTATAGGGGGATCACACTCCTCAGCCTCCCTGGAAAGGTCTACTCCAAGGTACTGGAGAGGAGGGTCCGATCGATAGTTGATTCTCGGATTGAGGAGGAGCAATGTGGTTTTCGTCCTGCTGTGGAACTGTGGACCAGCTCTATACCCTTACAAGGGTAATGGATGGGGCATGGGAGTTTGCCCAACCAATCAACGTGTTTTGTGGATTTGGAGAAGGCTTATGACCGTGTCCCCAGGAGCACCCTGTGGGGGACGCTCCATGAGTATGGGATGAGTGGTTTTCCGTTAAGGGCCATTCAGTTCCTTTACTACAGGAGCCAGTAGTAAGTCGGACCTGCTCCCGGTGAGGGTTGGACTCCGCCGGGCTGCCCTTTGTCACCGGTTCTGTTCGTTACCTTTATGGACAGAATTTCTAGGCGCAGCCGTGGTGTGGAGTGTGTCGAGCTTGGTGGCAGGAGAATCTTGTCTCTGCTTTTTGCGGATGATGTGGTCCTCCTAGCTTCATCCAGCTCTGACCTTCAGCTCTTGCTGGGTAGGTTTGCGGCCGAGTGTGAAGCGGCTGGGATGAGGATCAGCACCTCCAAATCTGAGACCATGGTTCTCGACCGGAAAAGGGTGGCTTGCCAACTCCGGGTCGGGAGAGAGGTCCTACCTCAAGTGGAGGAGTTTAAGTATCTTGGGGTCTTGTTCACGAGTGAGGGTAGGAGGGATCGGGAGATCGACAGGCGGATTGGTTCGGCGTCTGCAGTGATGCGGACGCTGAGCCGATCTGTCGTGGTGAAGAGGGAGTTGAGCCAGAAAGCCAGGCTCTCCATTTACTGGTCGATCTACGTCCCAATCCTCACCTATGGCCATGAGCTTTGGGTAATGACCGAAAGAACGAGATTGCGGATACAAGCGGCCAAAATGAGTTTCCACCGTAGGGTGGCCGGGCTCAGCCTTAGAAATAGGGTGAGGAGCTCGGACATTCGGGAGGGACTCGGAGTAGAACCGCTGCTCCTCTGGATCGAAAGGAGTCAGTTGAAGTGGTTTGGGCATCTGGTCAGGATGCCTCCTGGACACCTCCCTGGGGAGGTGTTTCGGGCATGTCCTGCCGGCAGGAAGCCCCCAGGTTGACCCAGGACACATTGGAGAGGTTACATCTTTAATCTGGACCGGGGACGCCTCGGGGTCCTGCCGGAGGAGCTAGTGGAGATGGCCGGGGAGAGGACGGTCTGGAGCTCCCTAGATGGGATGCTGCCCCCGCGACCCGGACCCGGATAAGCGGAGGAAGACGACGACGATGATGACTTTTTCTCCAGCGTTAAGACTGCTGCACAAAAAAAAAAAGACTGCTGCTCGCGCGGGCCCCCTTGTGGCTGTGGTCCCCTGGGCCTGTGACCAGTTTGCCCATATTATAATTCGGCCTCGTCTCTGACTTTGGGAACCAGCTTGTCTGGAGCACAGATGAGGATCTCAGTCTTATATACTTTTAGTGACAAAACTTGCACACCTTATACACCAACCTCTGCAGCCACTTCTTTTCTTTCTAAAATCTTTAAAAACATGACAGATCTGGTACTGGCCCACGCTGGACACCCCGTAGGACCGCCCCTGCAGTCCACATGCTTCAGCCTTGGGTTCATAAACCCTATGAGCATTAAATCAACATGCACTGTTTATCCAGATCCAGAGGTGTGTTAAAGCTAACATAACTTAACTCATCCACTCCAGATGTTTCCCACTAACCCAGAATCATGCTTGATTAGACTTGCTCTAAATAAATGGGGGTTTTATATTTTTCCACTCTAACAGTCTGCTGGGAAGGTAATTGTGGTATTAAATGCTTTGTTGTCATTACAGGCCAAATACACTGCATTTATAGTTTTCCCTTTCCTTGTCATTTGTAGCTCAAATTCTTAAAGAGTGGAGCATAAAGGTGCTTTTGACTTTCTCAAATACTTTTCTTTTTACTGCTCCAATAAAACGTGCTTTTTACTCAAGAGCGCTGTGTTTCCATGCAGCCAGACTGATTTACTGTTAACAGGGAGGGATTATTTACTTACAAGCTGAATAAACCAATTAAGTGTATGGCCTGTATTAGTATAGGGCCTTTTGGGGTACTACAACCATCCAAAGCGCTTCACAACACAATCAGTCATTCACCCATTCACACACTGGTGGGGATGAACTACGATGTAGCCACAGCTGCCCTGGGGAGCACCAACAGAGGCGAGGCTTTCCGAACACTGGCACCACCCATCCCTCTGACCACCACCAGCAGACAAGGTGGGTTAGGTGTCATGCCCAAGGACACAACCGCAGCATCCTCTGGTTGGAGCCGGGGCCGAACCTGCAACCTTCCGATTACTGGAGAACCTGCTCTACCTTCTGAGCTACCGCTGTCCCAGAAAAAGCGTCTGCTCGTTTGTAAACGAGTCTGCATAATAAGTTGCTGAATGCTGAAATTGACCCGGCCTCTGAGATCAAGTCTTGATTACATAAACATAATTTTTCTGTATTTATTTATTTATTTTAACAGCGAGGACAGCTACTCCGTGATCGACTACGCCCTGAGGGATCAGATCCAAGTGGGCACCTGCCAGCCGGAGGAGCTCAACCTGTCTCCGGTCAAAAGCCCCACCAGCATGTTGGGCTCACGGCAACCCGGCGCCAGCCACGTCTTCCGCCTGTGTTTCCGTAGCAACCACTCAGATGTAAAGGTGCCCATGATTCTTGGAACGGAGCTGCTGTAAGTGCATAGTTTTGAAACCGTCGTTCCGTCTAATTGTGTTTTCATTGATCGTTTTCCACTTTGAATTTGGTTACTTATTGCTAGAGCGCATACCCTCAGGCACCCGTGAGTCATGTTCACCTGCGACACAACAGTGCACCTGCATGTTTTTACTTGCTTCGTTTCATTCAGCGTGTGATTTACCGGTTTGGGGATTTAATCAGCAAACTAAATCTCTGTTCCTTTAATGTGCTGAATGGGCGACTGCTTATCCCTGTGAGAGAATAAGGTTTGCTCCCGTATCTCCTTTATGCATCCGTGTGCCTTTTAACTTGAACACAGCTTTCCCCTCCATTCTTACCTCTTTTCTCATAGTCTCTGTTGCACCATTTACAGTCGCAGGGATATTTTCTTACATCTGATCAGAAAATGGATAAACGGCTCTGGAGGGTGACCCAGGAAATACTGTTTTTTTTGTTACACTGTAAAACAGACTCACTCAGCCACATAATTGATGTATTGAGTTATTTCTGTTCAAGTCTGAAGAAAGCTGCTTGTAACATGTGCAGCCTAAATGCTAATGTACCCAATTTAAAACCTCAAAACTTTGCTCTAGTCAGTATATTCAAAAACCGTTATTCCCTCTCTCTCTGTGCAGCAGTTAGTGAAAAGCACGGATGTTCGGATTACGTAACTTGCACAACAAAAGGGATGTGCTTTATGTTTTCCATCCTATTTGTTTACATGCTGAAAGACACAATCCCACAAGATGAAACAGTAATTATCTGCTATGGTTCCAGGCTTTGTTAGAGAACTGTTACTCACGCTTTTAAACGTGGAAATTATAAAGGTTCGATTATAGACGAATTACATTTCCAGCATTAAAAGAAAAACTTTATGAAATCGGTGTTAAAGAGCAAGTCACCCCCAAATCAACTTTAGTTTTGCTGTAGCTTAAATGTTTGCACGACATTTGAATTGAGTCACTCAAAGCAGGTATTTTCTACGGTAGCCAGTATCTCTGATTGTGGCCGCTCTTAGCCCCGCCTCCTGCTGGCTCAGCCACTCACGAGCCGATATGAAAAGATACAGCTCGGAGCCGCTCGCCTCCTTCATTAATCCTTCCTCCCTTTTCCTTGCCTCTCCTTCCTCTGGTGAAGAAATCCTCCACTAGGAAGCCTGCTCCTGTTTCTGTGTCCAAGCAGTAAGTGTGTGTGTGCACGTGTGTTTGTTAGCGGCTAATTTCTCAGACGTAAAATCTCAGAGAGGGGGTGGCGGGGTGCAGCTCTGTCAGTCACTGTTGCAGCGCCGCCCTCTCGGCCCGCCAGGCAAACCCTCCATTTGGTGCATTTTTCAAAAAGGAAGTGTGGGTGGAGTAAGACTCTGGTAGGGGGTGACTTGCTCTTTAAACATGAATCCAAACATTAAAATTGGTTTCATAAACCTTCTGAGTGAAAGACCCAATAATCAGTGCATTTTCACTGTTGATTAGTGTCTTTGGGTAGTCTGGCAAGCCAGACTAAATAATATATTTCATATACTCATTGACGGCTCTCAGTCGTGGGGCGGGTTCCACCATTGTCTATCAAACAATCTCCGCATGCTAGTGGACAGTGAACAATGTGACGTAGTCATCGCAATGGATGTCTGTAAACAAGGCAGTCCGCTGTTGAAGAAAGCGAAAACACATCCTTTTTCTTAAAAAAAGAGGACTTAAATACATCTATCAGCTCCTGATTCTAATAAAGCTCACGTCCAAATGGTCCAAAACTGATGTGAAAGCCATTTCAAACGAGCTGTCGCCATCTTGTTCCACTCTGTTGCATCATCCCGCCCACCAGACGAAGAGAGGGTCTTGATTGGCCCACAAAGCGGATAAAGCGTGGTGATTGGTTCACAAAGCAGATGACTGGCCCCCCCATTATGGACCAGTCACAGCTCTCCATGTGTTTGAAACTATTATTATCATTATTGTTATTATTATAAATATTATTGGTAACATTTTCATTGGATCTCAAGATTAAACATTTCCGATGTACAGGAGCACATTGACAACAACATTTACTCTGCTCCAAACGTCTGTTTGTTTGGAGCAGAACCAAGATCAGCTGCTTTTAACGTCGTTCACAAATTATCTCAGCTACACCATGTTGCTTTGATCCACCGCCGCAATTTAATGCCTTCATCATGTTAACTGGCACACAGATGAGCACATTTGCATCGTAACACACACACACACACACACACACACACACACACACACACACACACACACACACACACACCGAGCCCCAACAATGAAAACACCAGTCCAGTGGTGTCCAAAAGTAGCTCCATTGACGGTTCTCGTCATGGGGTGGGGGGATTCTACCGTTGTCTTTCCAACGATCTCGCATTCTACTGAACAACCAACAACGTGACGTACTCACCGCAACTGATGCCGGTAAACAAGGCAATCCACTGTTGAAGAAGGCAAAAATATTCCTTTTTCTTAATAAAATACATTCATCTGCTCCTGATTCTAATAAAGACCAAATCCAAATAGTCCAAAATGTAAAAGCAGTTTCAAATGAGTTGTCGCCATCTTGCTCTCCTCCGTTGTTTCAACCCACCCACCACACCAGTAGAGCGCCTTGCTTCGCCCACAAAGCCGATAGAGCGCTGTGATTGGCCTGCCAGAATGCTGCTAGGGGCCGTGGAGGTTCCAGTGGAGCGTTCATTTTGGTCTAGTTCACTAGGCTAGTCCAAAAGCCCTGCTCCTCCAGGCCCGCTGACCAGCATATTTTAGACATTTCCTTGCTGCTCCAACACATCTGATTCAGTGGTTGAATCACCTGTTCAGCAACTCAACGAGGAGCCTGATTAAAATCAGGTGTGTTGAATCAGAGGGACCTCTGAAACGTGCTGGATTGGAGCCCTCGATGATCTGGGATGGACGTCCAGTCAGTGAAGAAAAACAGAAACAAAGCAAGTACACGATCACGTCCATGAAGTTTTGCTCCAGTGACTTGTGAGAAACAACCGTGGTTCAGAAAATCCATAAAAATGAACACAAATGCTAATAAGAGGTGATTTGATAAAAACAAAATCAATAACTGCACTTGTCTGATCTAGACGCTGTTCTACAGGAACCTTTGAGTGAGACCCCAAATGAAAACACTTTATAATTAGACTAAAGCTAAATGTTGGTGAGATTGCTGACGTGTCTTTTTGTCTGAAACTCAAGATGGATGATGAGGACTTCCTGTCTTCTCCATAGTTTCAATGAAATGTGACTGTGAGTGTGTGTGCGTGTGTGTGTGTGTGTGTGTGTGTGTGTGTGTGTTTTAACTAGCTTTTGTTTAAGCTGTCGTCTAGCAACAGTTTAGTGCTCAGCGGGCCGTTTCCCACGACTCAGCCCTCCCCCTTTCCCCTGATCCTTCTTCACCGCCTGGCGTCTCATCTTTTAGAAGCCGGCCTGTGCTTGCTCTTTGTTTCTGATGACCAGAATACATCCTCACCCATTCATCCCAATGTAGTGGTCTAACTCAGCTTGACACAGCATGAAGCGTTGTTGCATTAGCCGCTTCTGTAGGAGTTTAATGAAGCAGATCGCACTGAGCTATGCTGAAAAGCATGCATATGCAGATGATTCCTACGTTTAGAAAAAGTTCTGAATCTGGTTGGTGAAGGTTGTTCGAGAACATTTCTGCAGTCCTGGTGGGGACTGTCGGAATTTTATTCAGTTATTTTGTCACAAATTTTAACCGGCCAATCAGATCTCACCGTTTAATACATAAGGGACATGTCTCCGTGTCACATAAGCAGTGGAAGCATTTGTTGTTTTTGTTAGAGGCCGACCGATATGGTTTTTTTAAGGCCGATGCCGATTTTTAAAGTATTTTGTTTGATTATTAAGGCTGATTGATATATATATATATTTACATGGTGAAAGACAGCTGAACACACTGTGTGCAATATAAATTAAATAAGTCAATGAATCTTAACATTTATTGAACTTCTAATAAAAATCAAACTCAAAACATAAAAAAGTAAAACTGGTGTGTTGGAGTTCTTCGGGTCCTTTCTTCAGTCTAGTAGTGGTGGCAGTTGGCCACACAAGTATCTGATTTATCATTTTTTCATCGGCTTTTAAAATTAATTTCGGCTGATGTAGAAAAAGTTGAATAAATCGGCCCGCCGATATATCGGTCAGACTCTAGTTTATTTCTAAGGTAATTTAAGAAACGTGTAAGGATGCCGTTTGTGTTTTTCTAAAAAGAAAAGTGAGCTGGTCTGTTTGTACTGAAAAAGTTCAAAGAGGCAAAGGTCACAAAAAGTGCAGGATTGCAGAATTTCTCCGTTAAGTGCAAATAATTGCATAATTTAGCATAAAAACAAGTAAAAAATATAAAATGTCTTAAATGGATCCGTGTGCTTCATCTCCCTGCGTGCCAGTTCAGCTCATGTTTTGTTCCAACGTGGAATTCTTCACATTCTGACTGAAGGCAGGCCAGTTGAGATGGGAACTGCAGAAAATGACTTATTCTGCCTTAACAGGCACTGACCTTTTAAGCTTCTGTTCTGTGTTCTGGGAAGCATACGTTTATATCTGTAATTCTTAAAGCTCACTGGCTTTTTGTTGTGTCTGACTGCCTTCCTAGCGACCTCGTGTCCTGCCCAGAGTCGGTGAATCGCGCCTGTTTGCCAGAACAAAGCCTCCCCAGACGTCTGAGGACAAAACAACAGTTAGATACTCAGCTGTGACAGAAAGCAGCAGACTAGAAATCATTCTGCTCCTCAGTTTTACTCACTGACTATTGTTTTTGGAATATTCATATTGTTTTTTTCCTGCTTTCGTTTACATGCTGATGCGAAAGCTGCAGATGGGAACGGTTCCCTCTGCTCGGTCTTGACCAGAGATGCGCCATGTGTTGGTGTATGGAAGTCTTTTCTTCCTGTGGCAGGCTGGAACGGGAGGCGTTGGGCTGAGAGTAAACATACCGACGGGAGGGAGGAGAAACAGAGATGGAAGCCTGTTGTCAGAGGAAGGAAAGCTAGAGCAGGACTGTCATCACTCTTTTTATCTGCCTGTGTGAAAGAATTGTTTTTACTCCGGCGGGGAGATTCTCGCTCTCTTCAGAGGTGAAACTGGAACCTTTTGCTGTGGACGTTTTAATCACGGCAGCTTTTTGTGCTGCAGGATGAAAGGTTAACGCCAGAGGAAGCTTTGGTACAATGGGTAGACTGATCCTGCACAGAAGTCCCTGGGGGAGGGCAAACACCTGTTAGTTGTGTGAATTCTTCACGAGCCTAAATCCAACTCACACACACGTGTTCTCTGCTGATGCCTGGGGTCCATATGCTGACGTGCTTCAGCCGCTTTAGTGCAGGAACACAACCTGCCACGTTAGTGTTTTTGTTGTCTTATCCGAGTGACTGTTGGCTCCTGCCGTCAGGAGTTAAATTCAACAGTTAGCTTTCACAGAGAAGCTCGAAATGTGAAGAATTTAAAGGATTAAAATCAAAAAGTCATTAAACAGCTTCAGGGTCTTGTCCAGGGACACTTTGGCACATTAAACAAGTTTAACAATTGAATTCAGTCTAAAAATTGCAAATATCAGCCGGCTTTTAGTATCGCAATATATATGTATATATATATATATATATATACATACATATATATATATATATATATATATATATATATATATATATATACATCATACAGTCTCCAACGTATTGTGATATCATCATCATCATCATCTTTATTTATATAACACTTTCCATCTGCCAGTAGGTCAATCAAAGCACTGTACACACTTTGAAAATTTTAAACATTACTGACCCATTCAATGGCCCAAAATAAAACAATATACACAAAAACAAATAAAAGCAGGAGATAAACGCTAAGAATGTTGGTAAAAAAAAACACAAGTTAAAAACAACCGGATACAAATATGGCTAACTCACTGGCTGAGGGAACGCCACGGTATGAAAGTGAGTCTTCATCCGACTCTTAAAAACCGGCAGTGCGGGTGCTTGTCTGACCACAGGTGGAAGATCAGTCCACAGCTTGGGGGGCCAAAACTTAGAAAGCCCTGCCTCTTCTTGTCGGGCAAGTCCTGCTGTATTGATTTATCGTCTCCCTGTAATGCACTCCCTTAGTAACAACATGCGTCTGTTTTAATGAAATAATCGTTTATCCTAGTTATGAACTCTACCAATGCATCTAAACAATCTCATTTCAAGTGACTGTATTTGAAACCTGGATGGTGGTGCAAAAACGTTGGAGGTGTTATCACCAGAGTTCGTGTTGGGGGAATGTCATACAAAATGTGCCCGTGTGATCGAAGATTACCACTTCTGTTTAGGAGCCAGTAGGGACCAAAGGCCAGGAGGAAGTTTACATAATATGGCCTCAAAAAATGTACAAATGCTCCAGCCTGTGGTTGTGTTAAGGCCAACCTACACTCTCATGCAAGCTATGATGAGGATGCATGGCATTCCGAATCCAGATTTTTCAGAGAATGATCAGCCTAAATGTCCACAATATCACCATAATCAAGTATCTAAGTAAGAATCTAATAATCAGATATTTTTCTTGCACTAAGGGAGAAAGATTTTTGACTGATACTCATTTTCTCTTCAAACCGTGTCATCTGCATAAAAACGGTATTCAGCCTCAGATGATGTCAAGATTTCTAAGGAATAAACAGCAGTGGTTCTTATTAGGGACTTATTGGTCAATACAAACATACTTTTTCACAACAATTGATTGGAAACGTGGTTTTCTTTTTCCATCCAAGATGAAGACTAGAGAAAGTTGAGGCCTTTTAAGGTTTCAGCAGTCAAACTTCACCCTGAAGGTTCTACCCAGGGTGGTTTCCACTGGACTGTGACCTAAAACAACCTGGTGGTGTTACTGAGCCAAATTGGTGCAGTAGGTGGTAAAACATATCACTTGTGTCCAAAGTTCAGATCACAATGAAATGAGACAATAATGCAATGTGAGAACACTGGAGATATACTTCTAGATGTATTCTAAATGGCTCATTTCACTACTGATTTGACCTAAATAAACAAAGTTGCAGAATTTTTCTGCCTTTGTGGCTTAAAAAGGATCACAGGATTATGTGCACAATGCAAAACCGAGGTCTGACTCATAGGTTTGGTCTGCAGAGGTCCGTTTGAGGCTTTTATGAAGACCCACACAATCACCCAGATACAAGCGGACAGTGCCGAGTCACAGAGGGGGCCCCATGAACCCACACTGGTTCATTTCCTGAAACACCCCTCCGTTTATCCCCCACTCTCTGTCTACTGCTCTTTTCTGAATCCTTCAGAGCAGGTGAGATGATATCTGGTTTCATGGAATCTGACCTGTTCAACTCCTCCCATTTTGGCTTCCCATGACACCCAGACAAAAGGGAATGCCAAAGCAGGTTTGTCTTCTACTGAGAATCGGCTTGTGTGTCTGTTTTTCTTGGTTCTCTCTGACTGAAAACACACCTCTGTTCTCTCAGACTGGAAGTAAACAGAGGGAGGGGATGCCAAACTGGCTGGGCAGCTAGTTTTGGATGTTCTTCTGTGCTCTGCACAGCTCTAGACACTTGCAGGTTTAAAAAACTAAAGAAACTATAGTGTCGCACCCAGGTTGAGTTTCAAATAAACAATTCAGTGTTGGGACTTTTAAAATGGCATGTAGTTTAATGAAGTGTTCCTGTGTTTTTAGGAGCGAGCGTGCTCGATGGATCAGCGCTCTGGGACAAAATGTCAACAATAAAAAGACTCATGACAGAACAAGTGAGTTCTAATTATAAGCCTTCCTACCCTCGTTGTTTAGCTTATTGCACCACCTTGTGGCAATGTGATGCACTATTTGAACTTCTCAGTGAAGAGATCATTTTTAACTAACCATGTCTTTATGGTTCCAGATGTGATCCAGGGGGAGGTGATCAGAAGTTACACGGCGAAGCAGCCAGATGAGATGTCTCTGCAGGTGGCGGACGTGGTGCTGGTCTCGCAGCACGTGGACGGTGGGTCTTCCTGTTACACTTCCTGTTGTTGTTCTCATGTTCCCATATTTACTACTCATCAGCTTCACATAACAGACTTGATGCATTTTAGGTGACCATAGCAACTGGATTTTTTAGCTTTTTTTTGTGCTAAAGAGCAGAAAACAAAACAATTAGCCTGTGTTCTGACAGAGCACCAAACATATCAGTGCAGCATTCGTGCAGTTTATGCGCATACATGCATCTAAACCTCTGTCGGGTTAGCATACAGATGGCAAAGTACGAGGAAAATGTTTGTTGATTGTGCTCATAAGTCTTTCACACAAACTTTTATGTTACCACCTTCTAAGTCTAAAAAACCTTTAGAAAATAAAGCCGTTATGGCTGCTCTCGTGGCCTGCCTGTATCTGTTCTGTCTATATGTGTGTGTGTAACCGTGGTCAGGCTGTTCTGTGGAGTCAAGTTCCTATGCTCTGGTTCACTGGAGCGCTGGCAATAAAATTCTCTGATTCAAAATATGTCAAATTGACAGTTCAGAGTGTTATACGGTTGTTATTAAAACGTGTATGATGATCAGAGCGGTAAAATGGCCCATCGGGATGTCATACGGTTATTCTAAACAAAGTGTATGATGATGAGCGACGGTGGCACAGGAGTAAAGTGCTCGCCCCGTAATCGGAAGGTTGCAGGTTCAAGACCCGCTCAGTCTGTTACTGTCGTTGTGTCCTTGGGCAAGACACCTAACCCCCTTGCCTGCTGGTAGTGGTCGGAGAGGCCGGTGGCGCCAGTGCTCGGCAGCCTCGCCTCTGTCAGTGTGGCCCAGGGCAGCTGTGGCTACATCGGAGCTCATCCCTATCAGCGTGTGAGTGGATTAATGACTGATTGTGTTGGGGGTGTTCCAGAACTCTAGAGGGCGCTATATCAAACACAGGCCATTTGTCAGGATCTGATGGGTAAACTGCACCATCGAAATGTCACACACTTTAAAATGCATGATGATCTGACAGTCTATGCCCGTCTGTCAGATTGCACATATGCTAATCTGACGATGTATGGTGATTAGACAGAGCACCTGCAGTAAAGGTCGTTTCTCCTTGCAGGCTGGTATGAAGGCGAGCGGCTGCGTGACGGCGAGTGGGGGTGGTTTCCAGGAGAGTGTGTGGAAAGAATAACGTGCCAGGCCACTATCGAACGCAACATGCAGAGGATGGACCGCCTGCAGGGGCTGGAGACGAACGTGTGACAGGACGACGCGCCGGAGAGGGGCTCGTTCTGGCTGACAGTGACCCTCTGACACCGTACAAACCTATAACCCATACAAACCCTGTCAAGAGTTTTGTTCTGTTTAGCAGAAATGCAGACAAGCACTCAGATGCTAATGATTACGGTAATTGGTCCCCGTGTTGCTGGGGCGGTTCGACAGTGAGGAGACGTCACATTGATTAATTCCCCAGCTGGATGGAAAACTTCACACCTACAGCTAAAGCCGCTGCTTTTAACACCCTGTCTCATCAAAAACCGTTGGTGCGAAATTTAGTAAATGTTCCAGCGTGTCTTTTTTCAAACGCTGCATAACGAGTGAAACTCTCCTGTAGGAGGTAAAGTAGATCAGTTAGTGTGAGTTAAGACAGCAGCCTGGTGTGCCCTCCGTTAACGAGGCTTGGGCCATGGGATGGAAAGCATCACCAGAACCCACGTGACCACCAAGGTGTCGATTCCACGAGTGATAACAATAAGGAGTGGTCGGCGGCCTCTTTAGTGTTCAAACTCTCGTGAGTGTTTTAATGTCTGAGCTGGATTCTGAGCATTATTATGTAACACTGTTCATGTCTGGTTGGGCAGTTATTACAAATGGCAGCCATCAGGAAGGATCTCCACCAGTTAAGTTCCATTTGTATCTCAAGGGCCAGTATCCCCCAACTCCAGAGGGGTCACACACCCGTGTGACGTTAAATAACTGAACATGTTTGCTGATTTTGAACCAGAACGGATGGATGGACCCCGCCTGGCCCTGGTTTTAATGCGACCGTCCAGCGTGACTCATCTTTTTAGTGTTGCCCGAATAATGGAAATAGATGGCTCATCCGGAGGACGGTGATGACGCCATCTATCAGGCTCCCAGCTCAGATTACGGCCACACACATTAACTCAAAACGAGGTTTGGCAGGAAATCCAGGATAGTATCCAGACTCTCAGCTTAGCATTTGCTCTCAGGGAAAAAAAATGTCAGCTCTTCGATGCACTTTTATTTTTTTTATTTCCTTCTCTTAACTATTGTAAATCAGCAATGTAAATATGTAAAACACCTTCAACTGTAACATTTTGGTAAATATAGATTATATAAAGAGGTCTGTTTTAATCCTGTTAATAAAATGTTATCATCCTGGACTTTTGTCACTAGTTTTTAATTATTTTGTATGAGATAGTGAGATCTTAAAGGTGAATGTAGAAAGAATTACATCCTGTGGTCAAATAAGAGAACTGCAGTCCATTTATCAGAACTAACGAGTCCGCTCTGAGCAGCTGTTGCCAGTTACGGATCACAGGGTATCCGCGGGTCCTTAAAAAGTCTTTAATTAGCTTTTCCAAATTTAAGGCCTTAAAAATCCTTAAAAATGACAAATAATCCTTAAAAACAGTTTCCAAATGTCTTAAATTACCAAAGACCCAATAAACAAAAAGTTTTGACTCCGTCTTTGCAGCATTTAGGCATAAGAAGTTTGCCATCAACCATTCTTTCAGCTCAGAAACACTTTAAAACTAAAGCGCCTGCGTCTCGATTTTTCATGGCCCGACAAAGCTGACAGTCATCAGCATAGTTGTGATAGCTGATGCAGTGAAATTTAAAAATCTGACCCAAAAATAGATGGAAAATAGGAGGGCTCCAGGACTGAACCCTGAGGCACCCCCCATTTCACAGGCAGAAATGGTGAGGCAAGCTGCACACTAAAAGGCCTATTGTCCAGGTATGAACTAAACCAGTCCAGCACAGAGTCCGAGAGACCAACATGAGCCAACTAATACTAAAATAAAGCACAAAGCTAAAAGATCTACACTGTTGGACAAAAATATTACATACAAGTCCAGTAGCAACAAAGCCAGGTCACCATCAGTCAATTATGTTGTAGCCTCCTTGAGCACTCTCCAACTAGCGTAGGCTGCATCGATGCTCTGGTTTTTGCTCTTTGCTTCCCCTCCGAAGACATTACTCTTACTTTTAAATCCACACTCCACCATGATGCCAAAAGAAAATCCAACTACTTCTTTTTCTTCTTGTGCTTTTTATTGATGATCGCCAAACTGAAAAAGCTAACTGCTAGCATAACAGCTAACTGCCATAAAGCAGAAAAAGAGCTCCCCCTACAGGGCACCTACCCACTCTACAAAGCTGTTAAGCGCAGCATCTGGCCAGTAGAGGAATGCAGAGTGGTGTCAAATAACTCAGCCATCACTGAGATCAACGTTAAAGCTCTAGCTTAAAGTTTAAAAAAGTAGTGTTACTTTAAGTTGAGAAGACAAATACATTGTACTGTAATGTTGAGTTGTTGGTAAATAAAGTAGTTTGAGATATTTGTAGAGTTGACTTCTTTTCTAAATCACCGTTAGCATTGTTAACTCAACGCTAGCTTCTAGCCTTCTTTACCCAGCAGTAGATCAGGAGGTAAAGGGGGTTGTCCAGTAATAAGAAGGTTGCAGGTTCGATCCTAGCCCCAACCACCAGAGATTGCTACCGTTCTGTCCTTGATGGCGGTCAGAGGAAATGGTGGCATCAGTGTACGGCAGGCCTCGCCTCGGTCAGAGTGCCCCAGGCCAGGGCAGCTGTGGTCACACCGTAGCTCATCCCCACTAGCATGTGAATGGATGAATGACTGATTGTATTGTGAAGCACCTTGGGGGGTTGTAGAACCCTAAGAAGGCGCTATACAAATAAAGGCCATTTACCCGAGAAATAACTTCTGTATAAGTAACTGTGATTGGCTCTGGAACCAGGAAGTATGAAAGTGGGATAGATGGTGAACAGACTTTTTCCTTCTTTGATCTTTTTAAAAGGAGAAAAACTGAACCCCCCCCCCCCCCCAGCCAACAGAATTTTATCTGTTTCAACTTAATGATGATAAACGACCCGCTCTTGTATAGCGCCTTTCAGAGTCAAAGGACTCCAAAGTGCTTTACACTACAGTGTCTCATTCATCCATTCACACACTGGCGGTGATGAGCTACAATAGAGCTATCTGCACTGACAGAGGCGAGGCTGCTGAGCAGAGGCGCCACCAGTCCCTCCGACCACCACCAGCAGGTTGCCCAAGGACACAACAGCAGAATTCTCTGTCTGGAGCCGGGATTGAACCTGCAACCTTTCAATTACCGGACAACCCGCTCAACCTCTTGAGCTACTGCTGCCTAACTTAACCTTCTGTCCACATGACTGAGACTGTTATGTAATTATTCACTGTAAAATTCCTCTAAATGCTCCTTTCACTGTCCAAGTGCAGCTTCATCAGATGCATGACGACGTCCTCCAGATGAAGTGAAACAGTGAGTTGTTTAATTATTGCACAAGCCTTTAAGTGGCGCTGCTTAGGGAAAAAAACAAACATTTCCTTCTTGGAAATGTACAAACAAACTACGTGTAATGTGAGTACATGAAAAATCATCTTTTTCTTTTTACCATTTTCAGTATTTGACCTTTTATTACGTCATCAGCAGCGCAGAAGTCTGAACCATTAAGGCTGCCCTCTGTCATTAATATTCTAACAAACTCAGATTTTCATCACGCCTGGCTGCTTCTGATCATCGTCCTCATCGTCTTCATTATTGACGTACATAAACAATCCTCTGGAGGTCGATGCCCACGTCTGGCTGTAGTCTTTGCTGCTGCTCCTGGGTGGTGATGAGGTCTATGATGGCGGTGATGACAGCACAGTCTTTGGACTGACGGTTGTTCCAGTCTACAGGAGCCGGATTGCTGATTTTCTCCTCCAACAGAGAATCTAGCTCTTTCTTTAAACTCTAAATGACAAAACAAACAAACAAACAAAAATAAATAAATAAACAAAGAAAGTTAAAAACAAAAAAACTAGGCAGATGAGATGATCTGAGTTTATGCTTTTCTTACTTTAACCAGGTGAGCGATACGCGCTGGGGACCTGAAGACGATCCACTGATCGACTGCGATGGTCTCCTGGTCCTCGTCCTTCTGGATGCTGATATCTCCTCCAAAGAACAGCAGGGAGAAGGGAGACACCTCGGTGCAGTCGTACAGGAAGATCTGAGAGGAGCGGGGAAACAGAGAGGTCGCTGCAATACAACAGATTAACACAACACCATTGTGACGCCTCGACAGCTACTCTGTAGTGTGGGCTGAAAGTGTCCCATTAGTGAGGAGAGGCTGTGCCAGATCCTCTGGTGTTAGCAGAAATGTCATCTTGCCCCATCTGTGAATCTCCCTAATGTGTTACACCGCTTTCCGTCCATTTCCCAAAGCTTCACTGACAGCTGTTTATGTAGAGTAGCTCGCCTAATGACACCCAGCACGAATAACTGAATACTAAACCTAATAAGGCTGCGCAGGCAATACGCCGGCCCTAAAAACAACAACATAAACATAAGAGATTCCTCCGACGAGCAGAGAGGCGAAACAAACAAAACCCGCTTTAACCGGTTAAATAAAACCTAATTAGCATCAAGATATAAGGCTGCACAGTGGCGCAGTGGTTAGAGCTGTTGCCTTGCAGCAAGGAGGGGGAGGGGGAGTAGCCAACACGACGGAAGTGCGTCAGAGGAGATAAAGTTTGACATTACTCCTCCATTTTCATTCTGCTTCATTTTCTCGCACTGAGCAAATAACCTTGAACATCTCACATTCTCTAAACACCTTTTTTTTCTGCACGCAGAATCTCACCACGCTGCACAGGAAGAAGGGAAAAAAAGCATTTAAGGTGGTAAAAATAAAGCGAAACACAAGTCCGTCAAAACCGCCAGAGAGGTGGAGAGCAAAGGCAGAGGTGTTGGTTTCTGGTGTAGGAACACGGCAAAGAGGAAGAGCTGCAGTCAGAGAGCAGCGCTGACCCGTTGGCCTCCACGGCCACCCTCTCTGTGTCTGGAGGCTTTGAAGCACAAGAGCCTTGGAAGGGAAGCGTTTTAATCAAATATTCATTAAACACAAAGCTGGTGTGGCATCAGCGCCAACCTTTAGCCACCGGGGCTCGCCCCGCAGAGACGGTCCCTACAGCTGCTACCCTACAGGCTCAGAAGGAAACAACCATTTGGGTTTACAGGGTATCTGCAGGTTTAAGGGAGCCAAATTTAAGACTTTTTAAGACCTTTTTTAAGGCCACTTGGACCAAATTTAAGCTATTTTGTTAAAATTAAATTTAAGTTATAATTTCCAGCTATTGCCTGGAACCGGTGCTAACCACGTCGTGAACGTGGGATTAGCCATCCAGTTACCAATAATGTTGCACTTCCCCATGGCGCAAGCTCCCACTAGCATGCTCCTCTAAAAATAGCCCCCTTTCACAACCAACCGTATGTGTACGGTTCCGCTTACGCCAATATCGTACACAAAAAATGCTGAACACTAACTAGAAATTCACGAAAATTTTATAGAAATAAAATAATCTTGTTTATTGGGTCTTTGGTAATTTAAGACCTTTGGAAACTGTATTTAAGGATTATTTGTCATTTTTAAGGATTTTTAAGGCCTTAAATTTGGAAAAGCTAATTTAAGACTTTTTAAGACTTTTTAAGGACCCCTGGTTTAGTTGTTGACTCACAACGGCTCTGGAGCGGCAAACAGATAAATCACACGCACTCTTCCACTCCTTCACCACGCCCTCCAGTAGATTTGTCTCCTCCCACTGATCTTCCAGAGACCCTGCGTGAAACGTGTCCACCAGGGCTTACTCACGCTGCTTGTTCTCATCTTCAGGTGGTAAATGAGCCACGCGTAGTTGAACTCCTTCTCCTCAGCGTTGACGGACTTCGGGTGGATGCACACCTTCCCGTCGGCCTGTGTGTACACCTTTACCCTGAGGAGGAGGAGAATGCTAGGATCACTGGAGACAATTACAGAAACACAACATCTCACCTGTAAAGCCTTAAGAGTCTTTCACAGCTGGTTTGGATGTGGGAGACTCTGTCATGAATGCACATTTCCATCTGTTTTTCTTATTTTAAAGGGACATTATGGAAGTTTGACAGCCAAAACATGTATAGAAATAAATTTCTTCTTCATACATTCTCCTGCAATGCCCTGGTCCTGTAGAATGAGCCCTGGCATTTTTACTGTGATTGCCTGTTTTTCTGTAAAATCACAGAAAAAGAGAGATGCTCGGGTCGAGCAGGCTGCTTCATGCGCGTTCACGCTCAGGCATCGCCCGTAGCATTTGCTATCCGTAGCTTTAGCAGCAGAGAGAGAGGCAGTGCCACTTTGTCGCTGTTCCTAACGCCTAGTGACAAAGCTAGCTACATTTCTGAGGACCCTTAGCTACTTTCTGTAGATCTTTCTTCTAGATATTTCCTGCAAATTAGCAACAAAGTAGCCATTTTAACTCCAAACGACGTCAGTGGCGCTTTAGCTCACCTAGTAAAACGTCACACTCTCGTGCAGAAGACCCGGGTTTGATTCTGGATGTGAATATAGTTTTACATTAATGGTATATTTTTACAGTAAGATGCCCACATTTTTGTTTGAGACTCGCCGAACGGCATTGAATTCACAGATAAGAAAAGATGTGGGTTCAACTTTCATTTTGGAACAATTTTTCAAGCAAGGGAAGGGAATGATCTGAGCATGCAGGAGGACTGACCCATCATAAACCTTTGTTGGCTGTGCTGAAGAGAAAGGTACAGAACCAAATTATTTAATTAATTAGCTGCGCATTCTCCTGTCCTCTGTCCTCCGGGCCACACACACACACACACACACACACACACACACACACACACACACACGGGACTGTCTCAGCTGTTATTTTCGTTAAGGAGTGTGCACGTACAGCATGCGCACCTCGTGCACAAGCCTACTATTGAAGCTGCCGTTACGCTTTTGGCCTGAGGGGGCAATCACAAGCATAAAAATTAAAAAGTCCGAAAAGTCCCTTTAATCAGAGGACAGCGATGGCAGTATCAATGATCTGTTATTTTCCTTAAAAACTGTGATTCACCTGAACCAGATCTCGTCTGGCAGCTGGAGAGGCGGAGCAGAGCGGGGAAGCCTGCAGCTGCAGATTACTGGAATATATTGGAAAAATGATTAACCAAGCTTTGAAGATGGCATCATCTGGATGATGATGCTGCAGCTAAAACGACACGTTTCAGTTCTGACAGCTTTGTGAGTTATTTGGAAAAAAGAAAATCCACAGAATTTGCTTAAAGGGACTTTACGGAGTTTTGAATTTTTATGCTCGAGACTGCCCCCTCAGGCCAAAAGCGTAAGGGCAGCTTCAATAGTAGGCTTGTGCACGAGGCGCGCATGCTGTACGTGCACACTCCTTAACGAAAATAACAGCTGAGACATTCCCTTGTGTGTGTGTGTGTGTGTGTGTGTGTGTGTGTGTGTGTGTGTGTGTGTGTGTGTGTGTGTGTGTGTGTGTGTGTGTGTGTGTGTGTGTGTGTGTGTGTGTGGCCCAGAGGACAGGAGAACACGCAGCTAATTAATTAAATAATTTGGTTCTGTACCTTTCTCTTCAGCACAGCCGACAAAGGTTTATGATGGGTCAGTCCTCCTGCATGCTCAGATCATTCCCTTCCCTTGCTTGAAAAATTGTTCCAAAATGAAAGTTGAACCCACATCTTTTTTATCTGTGAATTCAATGCCGTTCGGCGAGTCTCAAATAAAAATTTGGGTATCTTACTGTAAAAAATACCATTAATGTAAAAAAGAAACTCTAAATAAACTATGTTCACATCCAGAATCAAACCCAGGACTTCTGCACGAGAGTCCGACGTCTAACTAGGTGAGCTAAAGCACCAGTGACATTATTTGTATCTGTAACTTTTATATCCTTGATGATAGCTGAAACAACGTTCAAAGAACGGTTCGGAGTGAAAATGGCTATTTTGTTGCTAATTTGCAGGAAATATTTAGAAGAAAGTTCTACAGAAAGTAGCTAAGGGTCCTCAGAAATGTAGCTAGCTTTGTCACTAGGCGTTAGGAACAGCGACAAAGACTAAAGCTACTGATAGCAAATGCTACGGGCGATGCCTGAGCGTGAACGCGCATGAAGCAGCCTGCTCGACCCGAGCATCTCTCTTTTTCTGTGATTTTACAGAAAAACAGGCAATCACAGTAAAAATGCCAGGGCTCATTCTACAGGACCAGGGCATTGCAGGAGAATGTATGAAGAAGACATTTATTATTTCTATACATGTTTTGGCCGTCAAACTTCCATAATGTCCCTTTAAAAAAGGTTTTCCTTTTATGTCCTGGAAAGCATCTTTCTGTGGAATCTCCCAGATCCCAGCAGTTTGGATTCCTAAACTTCTGCACATCATCTTTAGAGTAAGAAATCATTAATATTTATTTTGCCTTTTATTAAGTAAAATTAATTATCTAGAAGCTATGAAATTTTACTCAGGCAATACAAATGTGAAGTTGGTAAAAATATTTTATGGGAAAATGAATTTTTTGCATTTTTGGGGAAAAGCAACAATCCCATCCGAGCTACTCGCTCCTATCAGAACATCTCAGCTCTACAGAAAAAACATGAATAGGTTTTGTGTGTAACTGATGAATATTTCAACACATTTTTTGTCTTTTTAACTCAAAAGTCAAACTGAACATTTCTACAGCAGCCAGACGGATGTTCTGGGATTGGAGTTTTGTAGATAGGCTTTAGAAATTGGTGTTTTGGACCCATTGTTTCTGTTTAAAAATAATGAAAAACAAAAACTACAATAAAAAGTTCATTTTAGAAAAAGGAATCATGTGAAAATGCTGCAGAATATTAACATTACTACATAGACAGTGGAGAGTGTGTGCGCATGTGTGTGTGTGTGTGTGTGTGTGTGCACACTGTTCCCACTTGTGATAAAATTGTGTCGAAACAGAATAAATTTAGTTCAAAACCACCCGCTAGCTTCAGAAATAACCAATTAGAGTCCTTTAGCTCGTTATTCTAATTCACTTCAGACGCCTCTTGTTGTCCTGTCACAGGAAAAAAAACTGCTCTTCCTCCTGAGACTCGTCTCTAACATTAAAGTAACACCATGTTCCAAACCTTTGTGAATCAGCCAGACAGAAGCAGCTGATCGGCAGCAGAGAACAAGCTGAATGGACCAGACAGATAATCAAATAAAAACCCTAAATGAGAATTTAAATCACTCAAATCTGCAGAAGCTTTTGTGCAAATGTTGGGAAAATGAACCGTGCGTCTGAAAAGACAGATAAAAGTCTGAATGTTTCCTCAGATATAGTCGATTGGTACGAAAACGTTCTGGATAAATTAAAGTGCTGCTGTTGCAGCCATCCATCTGACAGGCGGGTCACAGCTGCTGCCACTGACAGCTGCCTGAGGACCGCGCGGTGATGACTGCGTTGATCTGGAGCTGAAAAATGCCTTTTTGACAGCTTTCCTAGCTCGGGCTGCACAGCTGCCGGTAACCGCCACAACACCATTACAGAACTCCCCCCAGAGAGGTCTGATGAATGAAGCGAGAGGGGGAGAGGATAAAAGACTCGTCCACTCACCCGGGTCTCTTTTTGCTGTGAGACGGTTTGATCATGGCCACCTTCGGATACAGTCCAGCTACAATTACCGCCTTGATTAACTTCTCGTTGTCTGAGAAGAGACGAGACAATCAGGGAGGGGGCTAACGAACACGCCGCTCGGTCTGAGCTGAGACTCTCCTCTCGGTTACCTGAGTTGACGTTGGACGCGGGGTCTTTGGGGTCGCCGCTGGAGACGAAACCTGCGTGCATGAGATGTTCTGCAAACTGACCCTTCATGTTGTGCAGCATCTAACAAATAAAAACCCTAAATTAACGTCTTTAAGAAAAAAGAAGTTCAATTTGCCAGATTTTCGTCTTACTCACCTGGAGTGTGTTGGCAGACAGGAAGTTGTCCCAGCAGAAGTCCCTCTCGTACCTGACACCACGCTGCTTGGCTTCCTCCCAGCCCTGGCCAATCAGAGCACAGCAAATTAGATCTGAACCAATCAGCAAACGGAATTGAAATGAAAAGCAGAAAATGGTGGTGGAATATTTCACCTTGACAGCGTTGACGATAGTGAGGTGATCACTTTTAGAGTTTCGAGACAAGACTCTTCTCCTCATGTCCGCCATCTTCTCTTTACCCTAAAAGAGACAGAATGACTCCTAACCACTCGTTACAAACAAAAAGACGATAAAATGCATCAGTGTGTGTGTGTGTGAGATATAAGCTTTCATGTGTGTGCACTCAGAGCTCCTACCAGGGGGATGAAAAAAGGGTCTTTGAAGCTGAGTGAAGCAGCGATGGTGAGTACAGGGTCGAGGCATCCCAGCAGAGCTCCAAACAGGATGAGTTTGCCGATGTGAGGCTCCACAGGCAGACGGGCCAGGTGGAAACCCAGAGCTGTCAGACCCTCTGTGTGGTCCAGGGCGTTCTGACAACACACAAAACCCAGGAAGAACACGTCCTCAATCATAATTAGCTCATGCTAATATGTTTCACTCCAGTTCTAAAGGTTTGTATTCACACCATGGCTGAAAAGTCTGGAATCACTCAGAAATGTTTTTGTTTCCCATTCAAACAATGGAAATGAGTGTGATTAGGAAATAGAGCACACAAACAGGGCATGCAGATTCAGAAATGAAGTTTTAAATGGGAATGGTGAATGCTCTACAGCCTGGCAGATTTGCGGTAATCCCAGGTAATCTGATGAGATTTCACTCCATACTTCCTAGAGCTTCTTCTTCAGGGATGGATTAGCTTCATGGAGGGTTTTTCCAAGCGTTCCAGCTGCTCGTACAACAACAACAACCCAAAAGGTTTCGATCAGGAAACTGTGACATCTTGTGCTTTAAAGCCAGTGTGTAAAATGTTTACTTGCTTACACTCTAAATTTGTGTATCACGTTCACAAACTTGTCCTTTTTCATTAATATTTCTCACCAACTCCTATTCTAAATGTCCCTATTAGCTTGAGATTTTGTGTTTTTATATACATAAACGGTGGTCGACGCTCCATAGTCATGCACCACCTTGATATACCGTAGCCATTTAGGGTCACACAAGATATAAAACTCCGCATTTCACGTTTGAGCGTTGACACAAAAGGTCTTCCTGTAAACGTGCGGGAACGGTGCTGGTTCTCTCCGTGGCAGCCTGGCTGGTTTGGGGAAATTCAGCTCCTTCTCCTTGGGCTGCTTGCACGGCTCCACTACATGAGAGCGCTGGACTGGAAGCTGGAAGGCATTTATAACTGTGGTGGCACATGCACGGCCGCGGTGGAGAGAGTGTCAGGCGATGCGTTAGACGTGGCAGCACTTGAGTGAGACGACACAGCGGCTGCAATGACCGATCAAATCCGTGCTACAAATACTCACAGGACACTGGCAGAGGGCTCCCTAATCCCTGAGAGAGATGCTGACTGCAGGAAGCAGCAGGCGGTGTGTTGTGTTTTCACACTGCCTTGTTGATGTGTGTGGGCTACTCACCTCTGATTGACTAACAGCAACACGACTCTACCACTTCCTCCACTCACTTTGCAACGCTGATGTTTTGTCTTCCCAAATGACACATGCCTGAGGGAGTTCTGCTGTGTGGTGGAGTAGCTAATGTTAACGTTTAGCTTCGACCAGCCAAGACCGTCTCTGCTGTTGACGCAGAGATGGACGCTAAACCAACAGCCTTCCCCGTCGCGAGCCAAGATGGGTGAGTCCACGAATGCAGTGTGACATGGATCGTAGCTTTTTTTTTTTTGACCCGAGCGTTTCCTCATCTGTTTTCTGTTGGTGGCTAATGTTGGACGACTATTACCCACCGTTTTCATGCTTTGCTTACAAGTGAAACTCAGAATGACTCAAAAACAAGTAAAAAAACGGTTTCTCAGTGAACCTGTCAAACTTGCTCTGATCAAATGCTGTTGCAGGATCTTGTGAAGGCTCCCTCTACAAATCTCCTACCTTACCTCCCCTTCATGCAATCCCAAACTTTTCAGCAGCAGTGCGGACGGTGGCTGAATAATCAATCCACACCTCATAAAGTGAGCTTTATGTTTTCCTACCAGGTCTGTGAGGCTCTTGATGGCAAGGTTGACTGCCTTCTCAGTGGGAGGGTCAAGGGCTTTCTCCAGAAATTGGCTTATGAAACCAAGCTTCAGAATCTAAATGGAAAAAAAAAATCATATTTCACGAGATCAGCCGGAGCAAATTAGAATCATAAATCTCATGCTTACATGCTTCGCTCATTACGCGTGTGACTTTGAAACATTAGAGGGGAGAGCGGCGTCACGGTGCCAGGCTCGAAATAATTCAGACAAGAGCTGATTCACATTCACCTAAAGTGCATTAATTTCCAGATCAAAAGCAGACTTTTATATTCTCCGAACCGCGGAGCAGAGGAAGCAAGCGCGTTTGACAATCGAGGTGATGCTGGAGTGTCTGTGCATTAGAGATTCAGCTCAGAGTCCACCCGCTGTCAGTGTTTTCTCTCACTTTAAAGGCTGGTCTGATGCATTAGTCCACCTTTCACCCATGAGTTAAAAAAAACAGCATTACACACATACTCAAACAGTATTAACTGAGCTGGTGGAAGATGGACGCTGAAAAAAGACGGGGACAATAGAGCTGGATAAGAGCAAACACTGGAGCGGAGTGAACTCTGGCTTGGTTTTCCATTAGCGTTGGATGTTTTCTGAGTGAACGGCGAGGATTGGAAAAGACGAGGGAGGGTGTGAGAAGAAACGAACTGCTCGTGTTTGAGAATGAGAGGTGATTGTTATTGTGAAGAAGTGAGAAAGAGCTGGAAGGCGCGGGGCATGAGTCAGGCCGGGATGCTCGTCCGGGGTTCTCATTAGGCAGAACTCACAAACCCAGTCAGAGCAATCCCGTCCTCATTTCAGCTCCCAAGCCAATGCCAATACGTCACCCTCTGTCTACTTTCTATTAAAGGTATTGGCCAGACTCGGCATTAAAATTCAGTATTACTACACTTTACCATCTATATAAATATGAACTGGGTTCAGTTTTTCATTTTGTTAAGGAATTTTGTCATAAATCATTACAGAAATTCAAACTCCTCTCCTCCAGAGAGTGAACCGTGTTCCGCCTACGTCGCTCCAACACGTAAAACAAGGTAGATGCTGATGTTAGTATTGTGAATAACTGTTGTTTGTTTAGTTTTGTGCTCTTAATTATTACGGAAAATTGCGTTTACAGCTGCAGCAAAAGGTCTGAGCCACATGTCCGTGTCCTACACGCATTTTTAAATAACAGGTCTGATCTAAAATAATAACCTACGACTATAAATCCATCTAGAACTGCGCCGGTACTTCTGGACTCCGAGTCCTGTTAGCATGACTGCAGCAACACTGCTAACTGTGTTAGCTCCTATAAGGAAAAAACAAGTCATTTGGGAAAGCTACAACACACACACAGATACAATCTAAGAGATGAGCCCCATATCAACATTAGATCCTCCATGGACCAGTAGAACTTCCGTGCCATCCTGGATTAGTGCAAACCAGTCAAACTAAGGAGTCACTCTAGCATCAGGAAGATTTATTCTGGTGAGTTATTAGTTATATATTTTCCGGAGTTATATTAATAAATACAGGAAGCGGTAAAACTGGCAGCACACATATCTGTAGAATACTGAATTATACTGGGACACATGATGGAGCTAATGGGCCATTCCCATCTGTACCGGGTCGGCCCGGGCCGGGTAGCGTAGGTTGTTTACATATCTAGGTGGCCTGGTATTTTTCCGGGCCAACCAAGGCTCATTCTCAGCCCTCTTCTCGAGGGGGTCTGCTTCAGGCCGACCAGGGCCAACACACCCACTGCTGACAGCAAATTCACACCTTCCATTAGAGCAAGCCTCTGATTGGTGGGTAGAATCAGCCCACATGGGCTTAAGACAAGGATGGGTGGAATCAACCGGGCCAGGCTGGGGCCGACTGGGGCTACCCGGCCCGGGCCGACCCGGTACAGATGGGAATGGCCCATAAGACCAGCTGAGAACTCGTCAGCTTAGAGCTCCCGGTGGAGCACAGAAATGAAATATTTAACAAAAACTACACAAACTGTACCGATTTTGGTTCTGAATATGAACAGAATCCACCTCAATGTTCAAATCGGGTAGCGGGTCTTCAGAGTAAAACGGCCTAAAACACGTCTGCACCTCCGGTAGTGAAATCCAGCTGGCGGGGTCGGGGTTCAGTTGAACTTCTCCGGTAATCCAACATCTGTTCTCGTCATCATATCCCAGATCCCATATCTTCAGAAGCTACATCTGACTGATGAAACAATGTTCTCTGCTATAACTCTAACGCAGAAACACCGGAGTCAGGGGTTGTTTACTACAGCTGTTTCAGCAGAGCTCCTTGTGAAACGCCACCAGCTGCCCAGGGCTTAGACCGGAAGTTAGTTTCTGTTTTTCCCGCGAAAGTCACAAACATCAGATTTTCTTAAAATTCCAGCCGTGAAAATCCCAAAACCTTTTTCATCCGAGGTTTTAATACTTCATTACACATGCCGTTCGAAGGAAATCTGCCTCTGGCCGATATCTTTAAAACAACCTTTATCTGCAGGCAGAGCTCCTCCAGCGGAGTCCTCATGATTTCAGGTAGCTGATAAGCATCCAGCAGGCTGGCCCTCAGCCCGTTGTACAGATGATAACACTTTCCTGGTTGCACTCTAGATAAACATAGAGAAGGGAACGAAGGAGGGAGGGAGGGAGGGAGGGGTGAGGAAGAAAAAAAAAGATGGCATGTTAGAGCAGTCCTGTGACACGGGCTTAATTTGAAAAGTCAGTGGGATGAAACTGCGTGCAGTCAGCAGCTCTTGCTAATTGGGCCTTGCTGCACTTTGATGTTGGAGGCATCGAACAGAACGGGTGTCTCAAACTGCAAACAACCTGGGAGTGACTGAACGTTGTCTCTTTCCATGATTACTGTGGAAAACGCCTGGCAGAATGCTACAAAATGAGTCGTTCACACCCAGAGGTACGCTTATGATGTCAAAGATCACCAACCTCCCTGCGCGTCCCTTCCTCTGTTTGGCGTTGGCCAAGCTAACCCACTCAGCCGTCATGGTGCTGATGTTGTTGTTGGTGTCGAAGTTGGTCTCCTTAATCTTGCCTCCATCGATCACAAAGACGACGTCGTCTATGGTGATGCTGGGAGAAAAACAGGACAGAAATCAGATCAGCTTAGGACAAAAAACACTTCAAAAGGAGTCTTTTACAAGTATTTAGTTAGGAATAATAAACACAAAAGTGAAAAATGGTTCACAGCCCTTTGGTAGGAATCCCCTTTCAGCGGAGTGATTTGGGAAGAGGCAGCTTTCTTAATTTGCTTGATCTGTGTGTGTGTGTGTGCGACGTGTGTGTGTGTCTTCGTAAACGCATTAACAAATTGCCTGTCAGAGAGTTTCCCATCCAAGCTAATGTGACAGCGTTTGTAATCAATCCAAGAAACAAATGCTAATTAGCTTCAAATCTGCCTTTTTCCCAGTAATGACTCGAAAGAGCTGCACTATTCCAGCACACACACGCACACACACACACACGCACGCACGCACATGCACGCACGCACGCACGCACGCCTCAAATGTGAGCATTTTAAAAACATATTTAAATTTTTATTCCTATTTTCTTCCAATTGTCAGTCAAGCAGCAGCTAAACACACTCACCTGGTCTCAGCTATATTGGTAGCAATCACGATCTTTCTGACTCCTGCTGGAGGTCTTTTGAATACCTGAGAGGTTTTGGAGGAAAAGACAGAGGTAGACATGGCTGATATAAAAAAATAAAGAAATAAAGCAGAGCTAGTCAAAGTGAAAAAACCAGGAGAAAGTTAACCTGTGTCTGATTAACGGTGGGCATGAGGGAGTGCAAAGGGATGATAACAAACCGGTCTGAAACACAACAGAACACAGAAGAAAACATTAATAAAGCACAAAAAACTGTATCCGATACACTCACAGATGTGTCTTTACGAGAGAATCCAGCAAAGAGCAGAAAAATGAAGAAAAAGACACACCATCATTCAGATGGTACGTCAGGTTATTAGCTAATCACTCTGGAGATCAACAAGTTGGACATAAAATACTGTAACTGTGTCCTTTGTTGTCTTAGACCCGACTGAGGGCATTCAGATGTTTCTTTGTCGTCTGTAATTTATCTCAACACACCAGCTCATCCCTTGAGTTTAGGAGCTTCTTCACACCTCAGTGACTCACAACGCAGAGTTAACGGGCACAGCAAACACACTTCTGAATGCTGTTGCATCTGGACTGAAAATGAGTGAAAAAGCAGCAGGAAAGCTTTGAAAAGACCTTCAGAAAGTCAAGAGAAATCTCACGGGAAATAAAAGTTCAAAGAAATAAGTTTTTCTTTCCTCCAAAGATTTAGAAAAATGAGTCAAACCTGTGCCCACCTGATCTGAACATCTGCTGCGCCATCAGCAGGTCATTGAGACCGCTGATGTTGTCCCAACCTGGCAGGAAGACCAAGATCGCTCCTTCCTAAAATAAATAAATAAAGAAATGAAGACACAACCATCACAAACACGGCAAATAACCTGCTGACTAGGGCTGCACGGTATTAGGAAAACCTGCAATGCCATAACAGTGATTTATATTGCGATGACGATATTACGTGCGATAAATAAAAACTTAATTTAGGAACAAAAATACTCAAAAACAAAGAAATTTTAAAAATTACCAAAAAAATACAAAAAATCATAAAAATGAGAAAAGCAAAAGATGTGAGGAAAGGGAAAAAAATGAACAAGAAAAGGCGATCAGTGGACCCCGGGAAAAGCAGAACCAGCAGAAAGAGCAGAACAAAGCTAACTCAGGTGTTTGCTAACCATCAAAATGAAGTGCCGTCCGCCTCGGGGGCGGGCATCTGACCTATGAGAACCCACCCAACTGGCCAAATGGGCGAAGAGCTCTATTTGATTTGTTAAAAAGACATCATGCTTCTGTTTGATTGACAGAATGCATTATCTGTATCAAACCTTTGAGCTGAACATTCATTGAGATATTTAGCTGTTCTTAGCAATAAGCATATTGCGCATGCTGATTTCGCGATAACTATATATTTACGATATATTGTGCAGCCCTACTGCTGACAGTTACAGCCAACGCCGGAACGAACAGGGTGCCCGAGGCCTCGGAGGACCTGTCCACGGCTCTCGTCCTCCACATTCAGCCACATAGCAGGCACGGGAACACCTCTTCCACATCATTACAACAGTTTTCTACAACAAGGCAGCTAGAAAATCTGTTTCTACACCAGTCAGAGAGAAACGAAGAAGGCAAAGATAGATGTCAGTGTTTCTCCCTTGGGATGTGTGTGTTTTCCTGTGCTGCACATGAATGTAAGCAATTCTTTTTCTATTTGAGCTGAGAGCAGGTTCAGGTGTTTGGATGCAGCAATTTTCTCTGGACTTCTGATGTAAGATGGTCAGACTGTAACATTTCTTAGTTTATTTGTGTTTCATGGATTTGTGTGTGTTTTTGAACGTTCACCACTTAAACCTCAAAGGAGACGTGTTATGATTTTTTCCCTTAAGTTATAATTGCTCTATGGTCGATACAAAACATGTTTATTAAGTTCTTTACTCTAAATCCCTCTCAAATGAAACAATAACAGCAGTTTTAACTGTGACATTTTCAGTACCATCCAGAATGAGCCGTTTCAGGGCTCTGTCATTAAGAAAACAAGCTGGAGCTGGCCACGCCCACCAATCCCCCACTCAGGCTGCTATAGGCCGAGAAGCTCTGATGTCCATCTTTTCTCTCTTGCATATGAGCGGTGGCTCTATTCTTACTTACTTGTGATGTCACAATCAGGGACTTTTTGAAAAGGCTAATTTTATATACTTAATTCCTACACTGACAGGAAATGGATGGACAGATTTTCATGCTTAGAATGTTTTTGGAAGCAGTAGAGAACCCACATGGCAGCACGAACGAGTGTTAAATAATATGTTCCCTTTAAGATAATATCCACGTCATTTTTGAAAAATTACAATTACAAATGTATGATGAAACCCTCTTTCTAAAGGGCAAAGGTGGTAATATTTAATATTTTAATTCTCAAAGTGTGACTTTTTTTAATGAATTCACAAAGTCAAAGAATATCAAGGGTTTTAGGTTTTTTATCATTAAATGTGACTACTGTTCTTGCAAATGCGAGGCTTTCCAATATGAAAGACGTTCTTTCATGATACATTTCTGCTAGTTTGCTTATGTGTTTTATTTCATTCTACAATAAAATACAGCTGTAAATAAAATGAACATGACGTCGTTTTGAAAAAATCTACAAAAACATATATATGGTAGACTAAAAACGGTCTTTTTTCCAAACAAACAGCGTTCAAATTACAGGGGAGCCCGGCTGACCCGAAAGGCTGACTGGCTCCCCCGGAAGCCCTCAACTTACACATCCAGAAGGAGGCCAAAAAAGATCCTGGTTCTACTTTTATTACATTATGTTTTGAGTGAAGAGGACACAGAGCACTGATCTTTGATGTGCTCCAGGCAGCTGCGTCCTGCGCACAGCCGCAGTAACATTCTCTCTGGTGCTTTTATTTGTGCTTCGCTGCTGCTGAGCGCATCACCTGTCTTGTGCTTCAGTGACATCACACCACTGGCGCAGCCGGTGCACACTCTGCTATTTTTGCAGTCATTAGATCCCTAAGAAATGCTTTGTTCAAAAGTAACTCATGAGGTGAAAATACAGGAAGCAGAATATAGGAATATAGGCAGTAGTTTCTCTGTAGGATTGAGAGGAGGTGGAGGAAGATCAGAGACAGACAGGACAGGAAAATAGTCGAATAAAAAACAAAACGTGTTTGAAAAGGAAAATGTAGGTAGATGTATTCCACAACATGCTTTTAACTTTCTAAAGCAATTTAAAAGTATTAAATATTTATATATGTGATAAAAATCAGATCACCTTCAAAATTCAGTCCCACATCCAGGGCTGTTTCAAGGCATTTCGGGATAATCACAGACACAAATATCACTCAGTTTGACTGTTCAGAGAAGCTTCTGAAGCTCAAATATATTACTGATCCTTCATAACGCAGATTTGAACAAAGAGCTAATTATAACTCAAGAATACCTTCTGAGCTTCTGAGCAAAAACTCAAATTTAGACTAAAATTACTCTTAAGTTGGGCCAAATTAGGCAGGTAGGTAAATAAAACCAACAGTTGTTCATTAGCTGAGAGGAAGAAAAAGGAGACCAGACATCAAAAGTAGCATCAGAGCCTTTTAATTAAACCTAATTATTAAACATCGGCACCCACATGGGACCCTGTGTGTGTGTCTGTGTGTGTGTGTGTGTGTGTGTGTGTGTGTGTGTGTGAGACTAAAGCCCGAGTCATGTGTAACGTGATGGAGGTGCTATTCCACTGAAGGTTATTTACCCTCTCTCCACAGATGCCTCTGACACAGAACTAGTCCGCATGAGATATTCAATCAATCAAATGTATTTATAAAGCGCTTTTCAAACAAAGTGCTACTCAAAGTGCTTTACAAAATGACCCCAGATTCCCATAACAGGTTAAAAACATTAACAGACACATGCAAGCACACGCACACGCACGCACACACACACAGACTCACACACACACGCACACACACACACAGACTCACACACACACACACAGACTCACACACACACACACACAAAAATTATATTTGGCTGAGTCCAAATGAGCCAAGTATGGTAACGCAAGGAAACGCCATCAGAGGAGCCGTCTGCCCCAGCAGCATCAGGTCTTCCACACTAAGTCAAGGCGCTCAGTGGAGGGGGAGCATAGACCCCCACCTATAGAGCGCCCAGGAAGCTACAGTCGACCACTGCTCCTGCTCAAGGTCTCATGCATTTGCTTCTAAACTGCTTCTTTCCAGCCCAAGAGAAGAATGAAGAAAAGGACTCTTTCTTTTGAATAAATAAAGAACTCTATTTTAATAAAGCTAATCAAACAAAGCGTTAGTCAATAAATAAGATGTGACCAATTTGTGAAATCAAAATATTAATTACTTTATTATAATCCTATAGAATATATTAAGTAATATGACTTTAAATGTTTCCACTAGGACTGATCTCACGTAGAGTTAAGACATGACACATTGCTTTTACTGATCCATTCAGAATCTGCCAGATCGGACGGAGGCGTAGTTTTGGTGGTGTTTGGTAAATTTGTCAACTTTTCATTCGACCATAAACCAAAACATCCGAAGTATAAAACTATGCCCACGCCATCTTTAACGCCAGTTCAAAGCGTTCTAGAGAAGTTGTCGGAGTGGCCAATCCGTAACTTTCCTCTTCAGCCAAAAGAACCAACGACAAGCTGGATAAAATCTGTTGCTGTTCCAACTGCTGCAGCTGTTCCTTTCAGAATAAAAGCTGAACCATCAAGACCCAGGTTTGGGTCTCACTAGATGCCAACAAAACTGTCGTGACCCAGAAGTATCTCAAGACTGGTGGTCGGCTGCCGCAGCTGTTCTACAGGCTTCGGCTCCAGAAAGGGTCCAGCTGGACCTCGACATTCCTGATCTAACGGGGGCTTCCGAAAGGGTATGTAGGCCGACAGAATGGCGTTGAATGTGTTTACGAATCTCCTAACCAAAGCTTAGCAGGAAGACATCACCTTCATTTCCCATCATAACTAATCGTTTCTTCGGATTTGCTGGTTCTGAGCAACATTCCACACTACACCATTCTCCGTCTCATTCACCTTAGTTACACCATACATTTAGTGTTTAAAGTTAGTCTAGTTAAATTTGTTTAGTAATAAATCTTTAAACTTTTAAACTTGACTCTCTTCTGTTGTCTCTGAATGAATATGAAGCTGTTACCTAATCCCTGCAATAAAAAGTTCCAATCTTCAGGTTAAAATAACCCAACAGATCCATAAGGTTGATTTCATATTTTCTATGGAATCTTATGTCTAATGGCTCATTAAATAACATGTAATTTAAACCATTACACATGCTTCTGCGTCAGTGCGGAGACACGCAATGCCATTATTCGTCCTTCCGGAGAACACAAGCTTGTGATTGGTCAGGACGCCGCTGTCATCTACACCACCGCCATTGCGCCCTCAAAAACATAAAGAGAGCCGAGAATAACAAGCGGCAGACACGGAGAAGCTTGAAGAATACCTCGCGAAAATACTAAAAATATGAACGTTTAATTCCCCCGTGACTGAAGGAGTGAAAAGATATGCAAGCGTTTTATTTGTGGTTGGAAATGACAGGAAACGTGGGTTTAGAGGTGGCGAACGCATGAAGAGGCGGAGGAGAAGGAGAGACAAATTTGTCCGTGTTAAAAAGTCTCTTATGTACAAAAAACACAATATAAACACACTATCTTGGACCGGATACATGACAGGATACCACAGAACAGCGCTACGCCCTCTGTTGTCCTGGCGGGGAATTGCTTTGCAACGGAGATGGAGAAGTATGAGGGCAAAACGCTTCTGTCAATCCGTGCGTGTCTGTTTCTTGCGGAGCTGACGGCGAGGAGGCCTGCATGCAGTTACATCATGACACACAACTAAAACATGGAGCAAACAAAGAGGCAGATTTGTTTGTGTAAAACAAAAAGAGTTCTGTAGTGTTAGCCTACTATTGAGCAACACACACACACACACACACACACACACACACACACACACACACACACACACACACAAACACACACACACACACACACACACACACACACACACACACTGTAAAGCTGCACCGAGCAGGTAGCCATTAATGTCTGCGTGTCGAGGGCCCTTGTGTCTAATCATAGGCCTCTTAGGTGTAATTTACCAATCATCGCGGTCGAAGACCTGACAGACGAGCCATATCCTCGATTCAGAACTCCGTCATGGAGAATCAGTCCGTTGCGCTCTCCGCCGTTTGACAACGCCACAGCAGATCAGCTGGTTGAGTGGCTGAGTGCCAGCGTGACTGATGGAGATATGGCTTCACGTATGTGTGTGCCTGCCTGAGTTAGTAGCTCCTCTCAGATTATAACACTTCAAACTGAAGTTCAGTATCTGTAAAAGTATGCGTGGCTGCCGTTTATCTGCAGCTTTGTCTCTAGCCTTCCCTTTCTGGGAAGTGCTGTGGAAAATTCGTCTTCACCTTCATTATTCTCCTCTCAATATTGACAACAAGCAGCAGTGAGTGGCGCTAGTAATGACGCTGCTTGAGCCCAGCGCTGAAATGATGCCGACATAAAAGGAGGGAACTTGACAAGAACTGGAAGGAGAGGAAAGAGAACGGACGTGCTAAGGGAGAGCATCTGTTCAATCACTCATTAGCACAGATCTACTGCCAGGATCAGCGTCATTTTCTCTGATCTGATGTCACTCCGCATTTGGAAGCCCACCCTGCTCCTTCCATCTGCTCTCCTTTTGTCAGCTTTAGGTGTCGGTGTCACCTACTGACTCTGATTTAAGCCCGGGATCTGGATTGGTTCCGTCGGCTGCTCGCTGCTCACACTAAAACCGCTAAAAACGCTCAGATTTAGCATTTCCAGGAACATAAATCTGAAAATTCTTAAGGCAAGATCCAGTGATAGAAGCTTGTTTACACTGAGCCACAACCATCTGCCTGGATTGAGTAGACATTAAAAAAAAAACTAAATAAAAAGAAAGAAAAAAATCAGAGAGACGATTACACTCACCCCCTCGTTGAGTACAATATGACGGATCAGCGTCAAGATCAGCTCCAGATCAATCTTCTCATCTCCGTCTAACATCTCCAGGGCCTCGATTGTGCTGTCGGAGTATCTGTAACACGTTGAAAAACAACAAATGTGAGGCATCTTTTATCTGTCAGCACCATGATGCTGCTGCTCGCTAACTGTCTTTTTCTAAATTGTTAAAAGTTTAACTCCAGATGGGGTCAAAATGCATCCACCATTTTTACCACCATGCTGTGCAAGTGTTAGTGTGAGTAGAAAAAAAGGTTCAGTGATGAATTTTACAAGTTCATTCTGTGTATTTGGTCAACTTGCACTGCTTGGTTCTGTTAAAACACTCACGGAGGAGCGCTGTTTAAATATGGCCACCATTTAAACAGCATCACTTCCTGATGGATTCAGTTGAGCCTAACTCTGACTGGCCATCGGAGAGAAACTCTGCTCCCATCGCATCTTTTGACAAGCTGTCAAAACCTGTTGCATGCTTCAGCTGACCGCAAACGGTTCCTTCAGAATAAAGCTGAACCAGCTCTGACTCCTAAGAGTCCTCCATAGACGCAAATAACTACCTGTCATGACCTGGAGGCATCTCGAGACCAGTCTAGTGGCACCGTGGTTTCTTCTACGGACTTCAAGTGTATTAAAAGCCTAAAATTCTGTATAATTAATGAGCATCAGACCCACGTGACCACAGAGCTAGCTCCGTGGAAAGGCCTCAGTAGAGCCTCGGTCTGGCCTGGAAACTGTTCCAGGATTTTGAGTCTCTGTGATTGTGTATTCTGTTTTGGATATTATTTGTGCAGTTGTTGGACAAAATGACTTGCCGCCACGCCTACAAGATCCTAGTTTTTTTTTTTTGGCGTCGCTTCCCGAATATGCAGCGGGAACTACTGTGTTGTCGCTTGTGATCACAGCCGGCCCAGCGGGCAGCAAGGAGGAGCAGGCAGGGCAAGGTGAAGTTACAGCATAAGTTACTGAGTTTAAAATTAGAAAGGTAGCAGTGGATATAATGCTTTTTGGTTTACATGTTTCAATAGCATGAAGATAAACGAGTGTTGGCCATCTTGACAGGGTTTCCTCCAGTACTTATTAGGCCAGGTTTTCCTCCCCCCACCAGGCTAAGCATCACTTATTCATGTAAAATTTATTTTTTCATGTCTGACTTTAACTGCATCTAATACTGTATTACGGCGTGAGCGCAACAGCGACAACTTAAGATCGATGTGTGAGCAGCCCGAGAGGTCGGGTGTTTCACCTGAACCCTTAAAACCTCCAGCAGGCTACGCTGCACTATTGACGTGTTAGCAAGCGGCACTAACAACTTAGCGACGTGACATGTCTCGGAGAAAGCGTAAAAATACGTTGGACGCTTCTTCTGAAGCGGGAAAATAACACCTCTTCTTAAGCAGAGCACGACGTCGCCTCGGTTCGTTCACGGCCGAGCCGGACTGAGCTCGATAACATTGACCCAGCACAGCCACTGGGTCGTTGGAGCTGCCCCGTGACTGCCTGATGGAACACCTGCAGGTTACATCAGACTCGTAAAGTTACTTGTTTTTGCTGGGGACCCCCGGTATTTTACCGCTCCCTCCTGCAGTCTTCCCCCGTTAAAATTTAAAATGATTCTGTAAATTCCGTGTATCAATAGAAAAAATCTCTGCCTCTGCCAGCTAATTCCTAGGGGAAACACACTTTCTCTCTCTCTCTCTCTCTCTCTCTCTCTCTCTCTCTCTCTCTCTCTCTCTCTCTCTCTCTCTCTCTCTATAGTTGCTCAGCTGGAAGAGCGTGTTCATTAACAAGAGGTGTTGCTCTCTCTCTCTCTCTCTCTCTCTCTATATATATATATATATATATATATAGTTGCTCAGCTGGAAGAGCGTGTTCATTAACAAGAGGTGTTGCTTCCGGCCATAATCACAAAAGTAAGGAGGGGGCTGAAGGTGCATTACATTTTTCCACATCTAGATGGTGCCCTCTGAGAAAAATCTCTGGATTTCTGCTTTAAGTTTGTGTGATAGACAATATCTGATATTACTGACCTATAATTAGAGCTGGGAATCAATTCAAATTTCAAGAATCAATTCGATTCCAATTCCCAAGACTTAGATTCGACTACCATGATCCACAATTTGCTCCAATTTCATATTGATATTGATATGAGTCAGTGCTGTTACAAACAGCCATTACCTTAATTATATGCCTGTAATTCAATGACGCAACACTGAGTCAGTTACAGTTCACCGGGCAAACTGGATTAACCTTTTTAAACTTAAACCCTAAAATGGTCGTCTGGACTTTTCCTTCCATGTTTAGCTGTAAAAAGGGCAAACTATGTTAAACAACAATTAAATACATTTTTGGATTTCAGAGTGATTTTATAAATCTTTACAAGAACGGATTCAGAATAAAATTTTTTCCAGCATTACCTAAAATGGTTTAGTTTTTAAGAAGGGAGACCCTGTATTTATTATCGGTATTGGAAATTCGGAGTTCCACATTGGATGTTGTTAAAAAAAAAGACAATATTGAACATCTTAGTAAAATATCGCGATATATCGTGTTATGACAATAAAATGATATTTAAAAGCAGTTTTTGATTTTTTTTAATGGAAAACTTTCATGCAAACATTTACCGTTTTTCTTTTGTTCAACTTCTAGAAGGCAGCAGTTTTTAACCACCTTCAATCTGACGGAATAATGAGATCTCGAGATTTAGTCTTAAAAATATTGTCTGGCTTTTAGTATCGCGACATATATTATCTCCCCTCTACTGTGATATACCTCGGATCACCAGATTCTTGCCAATACACGCCTTTATGGAAAACTGAATGTAAAGTATGCAGTTAGAGTCTGAATTTAACTGGACATTGACGACATTTTTAAAAGTAGCTCTAATATGTTACATTCAGACAACGTGGTGCTTTAATATCAAAACATACACCTTAGCAGGAGTAATTGTGTTTCCATCCTCATGGGCTCAAAACGAGCCGTGAAAACGATGGTGAAGACAGAAAGAACTACTTGCCACAGGCAAACCCAAAACCTGCCGTTTCCCAAACAAAAAACACATCAATCGACCTTCCAGCTCTTTAAACGCCTTGTTATTCTCACCAGCTCACCTGCCCTGTAGTGTGCGGGCGTAGCAAGGCCAGCTCTCACGGTATTCCTGCTCCTTCTCCTCTTTCTCTGGTCTGGAGTTGCGGCCCTGCCAAAAGCCTCTCTTCCATGTGGGACGACGGTCCTGATTCTTAGGTCGATACCTGGCAGAGAAAATGCCGTGCAGCTTTCATACAGCAAAAGTGACTGATTAACTCATTCACTGCCATTGACGACTAAAGTCGTCATTATAGATCCAACCGTTCACTGCCAAAGACGACTAAAGTCGCCATTAGCATTTTTTTTTTACTGTTTGAGCATCAAAATGAGCCCCCGCGCTGAGAGAACAAACATCTCAGCCCTGAAGCCGATCTTCATCCGCATATGTCACAGATCACATGATCAGGAAGCAACACATCCATGTGTTTGGAGATCGTTTTGGGCCGTTCCTGTAAAAAAAAAAGTGCGGCACGAACCGGAAAAGCGTCTGCCGATCACAATTCAACAACGGATTATGAAAGAACGGCTAACGCTTGAAACACGCGGACTCTTCCTGATGTAAGAGGTGAGTCTCCTCTTTGTTTTGGTTGTTTTGGCATCGACATCATGCTAGCGCGCAACATTCTGTGACTCTTAAAAAAACAGTAAAAACAGTGAGAAACGCTGGCAGCGAAGGCCGTTAGTGATCAGGAAACGGCTGGCAGTGAATGAGTTAATGTTTGCTTTTTGTGTTTTTACTTCGTCATCTCCACAACGTCCTCAAGCAGGAACTCTTCCACCGGGAATGTCAACCCAGGAATGTGGATCATTGGACAGTTGTCTAAAGAGAGGACAATGTGGATGAGGACAGGCAATTCTGCTAAAATAAATGAAAAAAAAAAGAAAGTTTTTTAGTGAGTTTTGTACCAAAATACTTAGAAAACTTCTCTGCATTGAGCGTGGCGCTCATGAGGACGACTTTGAGGTCACTTCGGAGTCTGAGTAAGTCCTTCACGATGACGAGCAGAACGTCTGACTGAAGGTTTCTCTCATGAATCTCGTCCAACACAAGGTGGCTTATGCTAGACAGCAACCTGATAACAACGGGAGGTTGAGTAGGTGATGGCTGGATTTAGAAGTTATAAAGATAATAAAAGAAAAACTGTATTATTTATAAATAAAGTCAACTTTTAAGACAGTTGATGTTGAAAAAAAAATATTCAAAATCAAACTTTCTGCTCAGAAAAGTCTCAAAAAGTCTGAATGAAAATAAAAAAGACATGGAGGAAAAGTCTTTTTCATTTCAAAGACACTTGGAATTCAAAGCTGAGCATGAAAGGATGAGTCAACAGAAGCTTAGAGAGTGTGTGTGTGTTTGTTTCTCTACGAGAATGGTGATCCATACTAATGACCTTCCAGAAACAGCAGAGCAAACGGCACATCAAAGAAGACAAAATGATGAGAAACAAAAAGGACGGCAGAGTCGACACAGAGAGGACACACAGAGACGAAAGACAGGATGAAGATGGCGTCATGAAGATGAGAGTAAAGGACGGGATCAGACTCACGGATCTGAGCGAAGCCACTGTAGAATGATGCCCGTCGTACAATACAGGATTGAACCTTGCCTCCGTGGTAACCGGCTGTGAAAATTGAAAGGAAAAACAAGGAAAATAATTTCTAGGAGACATAAAAAAGACGACAACATTTTCGGTCTCCAGTTTGTCTTCTGTTTGGTTCTCGACTGTTGAGCATTATCCCACCTTTCTTCCTTTTCCATTTCAGGATTCAAAACAGACTCGTTCATTCTTTCCTTTGAAGAGCAACATTTTTGTACTTTCACCTTAAGCTCAAATTGATGTTGCTATAAATTGTTGCCTTTGGAGAAACCACTAAAAAATAGCACCTGTGATGCGTTTCGTTGGTAGAAAACTCATCTAATCATGATTTCATGTCAGGGTTTTAGAAAACTCTCCAGATCACAGATACCCCCCCCCCCCTTTATGTTGTAGTAATCATTTCCACCATTTTTAGGCCGCAGCCTTCATTAAAATATTTTCAAATTCAGATCATAACAGACATTTAGATTTGAATGTAAATCGTTGACTTTAAGTGAATAAATTACTATATTTCCAGGTATTTCACACCAATCTGTTCATAAGCCTTAAAAATAAAAAGCTGGGGAACTTGGCTTGGCTACCAGTGAGAGATGTTTCATCCAGCTGTGGGTTTAATCAATTACATCAACTGTGAAGGTCAGACGAGTTGGCATAAAACGACCCAAAGGGCACTTCTCTTCCCACTGGCTACACCAGATAAAATGTTTATTCGCTGAATTATATGAAGTTCTCGTCTATTTGATCTTCATCGATGACTCACAGATGCATCTCACAGACGTCTGAATCCCTGGAAAGGCTTTGTTGTATAATTGATGGCAGTTTCAAATTTCAAAAATACCTTTATTGACTCATTTCGGGAGAAACTAAACAGAATGCAGAACAGGATTTCAAAGTCATTCAGAGGATCGATGCATAAAGAAAACAGCTAAAGGTGTGAAAACAAGACTCCTGAAGATGGCGAGTATCGCCTTAATCAAAGATGCATGAACACAGAAAGTATTCTGATGTGGAGCTATGAAAAAGCACGTAGCAAGTTCAAAAAATGTTAATAAATCTCTGAAGGACAAGGTTGCCAAAGGGCTTGAGTCTTAGGCTGCAAAGGAGCCTTGGGGTAAATAGACGCTGCTGGGTCTTTCTTCAACACCTCCACATTCAACGCCCCTGGTCTAGCGGTCCAAACTGATTTTTATAACACAAAACTACCCAGTCACAGGTGAGTCGTCTCATTGTTCGCTCTGTAAGCTCCCAACATCTCCTGGTGGGTAATCTTGTAAAGTCTGGACACTTTTTATTTTCAAGCAATAACATGTCAGTGATCACAATATTTCAGCTAATTATGAAAAAAGGGCATTTTAATCAGGTGAAGGGTAATCTCCTGCAGAGCCGTGTCCAGGACTTTTAAAATGGGGTGGCCCATGTGGGGCACTTAGTTATGCATGGGTGGCACCAATGGTTATGCTTATTTATTTATTTATTTACACAAATCGTTTATTTATTTATTTACTTTCTAGTGAATTTCTGAGTTTCATATTGCACAATCACCATTTTTTTCTATTCATCTTCTAGTTTTGTGGTGGTTAGCAAGTCACTTCTTGTTGCATTACTGCCACCAACTGGAGTTGAGTGGGACTCTAAATACTATGTATGTGAATATGAAAAAATAATAAATAATATTAATACTACAGAAATGTTCTGTAGGCCTGGGCTAGAAGACAATGTTAAAGGTGCATGCTACCACACACTATTTTTGGATTTTACAACCCAAGCCTTTTGTCGACAATGTAAAGTCAATTTAAACTGGAACTTAGTAGGGTGGCACCTGGGGTGGCCAATCAGATTCTAAGGGTGGCATGTGCTACCCCAGGCCACTCCCTGGACATGCCCCTGATCTCAATAGTGAATGTTGGAATTGGTAGCTACTTTTCTTCATGGATAACGTGTCTGCAACTTCTCTCATCAACATTAATGGGCCTTCCATACCCAAAACACAGCTAGAAGAGCTTTTAGGCCAACATTATGTTAAAAGATCTCTGCTTTGGTCAGTTCTCCAAATTAACATTACAAATGATCTGATGAAACTCGGCAAGTGCTTTGTTTGCTCTTCCTGTGACCTGAAGTTATAGCTCTATATCGGTACATTTGAGTGGTTTATTGTTAAGGTCAGTAAGCTGCAGCAGCCATCTTCAATACAGTCAACTCCATTTGAACATTGGACAAAATGTAGGGATGTAAGAAAACACTGTAACATTGCGATATTTCATGTTATGCTAATGAATTGATATTTAAAAGTAGTGTATTGTTTTTATTGGGAATTTACATGAAAACCTTTACTGTATTTAGGGATGCACCGATACGATACTGGTATTGGCATCGGCACCGATACCAATACCAGTATCGGTAAAAGTTAACCGATACCAATGCAGTTGCTTGAAAATGGCTTCTCTGTAACTTGTCATTTCTGTTCACCTAATATCTTAGTTTTGTGACGATTTCTATTCATATATTTTACTTTTTATCTACCTCGCAGTCTTTTCCTGTTGGAAGCAGAGAAGAAAATAAAATCTGTATTCCAAATCATTGCATTTTTTGGTGTGGTAGAAGTATTGGTAATCGGTACCGGCGAATACTCAGACCCAAGTATCGGTATTGTATCGGTTTGGAAAAAAGTGGTATCGTTGCATCCCTAATTTTATTATAGTGCAATTTAAACCCTGACTGCCAGCCTTCCTTCTGACAAAACGATATGCCATGATAAAGCTGTGTGTGTTAGTGTGTGTGTGTGTGTGAGAGACAGAATATGTAGATTGATGGACGTTTTTGTTTCTCAGATACTGAATTAAAATTAATCAAGAATTGTTGCGAAGCTTATTGATTCTAATAACCCAACATTTTCCTTGTTGTGTGTTTCATACCAACCCATACCGCAGAAACACATTTACTATAGCAACTACAGGCATTGACTAGACGGGCAGAGAGTCTTATCACGGTAGCAGAAAATTACCATTCAGTTACTAAAGAAGATCACTCGCAGAGAAAAGGTACAGGTTTTATTTTAATCTGGGAAAAGCTAGTGCATCATTAGAGGTTTAACAAAGCAGTATTTACATAAACTATGCAAGACTCCCAGGGTGTCAGCAGTGGTACCACAGCTACACGAACAATAAAAGGATGCCCTGAATTTTGTAATAATTTCAATTCTTTAATACAAAAAACTGTTTTGTTTTTTTATTTTAAGAAGATTTTGTGAATCATGACCACATAACTATCCGCTGACAAAGAAGAAAAAAATAAAACACAGCAAAGGGAACATGAAAATCCTCCTAAATTGAGTCAGTACTTTCATTCAGTCCCATTTCTTTGAACATAATATTTTCTTGCAAATCCTCTTCCTCCTAGTCCACTGCATCAATTTCCATTCTGCAGCCCTGAATTGGCCATTTTCCCCTCATCTTACTTCTCATGCCTCCTTGTGAGTGGAATTCTTCTCTTTGTTGTGTATGATCCATTTCAGATAGCTGCATGTGTAATAACCTGACCCTGTCTGCTCAGCTCAGAACAACCATCTTTTTAACAGTTTTATCTGTCTTTTCCAGTTCTTGTTCTCAATCCACCATTTCTATCTACCATCATGTTAGACCCTGTAATTAGAATATGCTTTACTTGTCACTTAGCTGAGTATTTGGATTTATATTATAGAAAATGGGATTTATCTAAAAGATAGCATTTATATCCAAACTGTAAAAAAGGCTGTATCTGGTGAAGCTAGCCTGCATAAACTCCTCTAATCTAAACAAACCAAACATCTACACAATTAGACCAAAAGAATGACAGAGGTTAAAATAGTTACTGTGTGTGTTTGCTGAAACAGAACTGCTCAGGGACCTCATTTATCAAGCTAGCTTACGCACAAAACGGGGTCAGGAAAACTGCGTAAGCAACTTTCCACGCAAACTTTGGGATTTATGAAAGAAACTTAGCGGAAAAATGTGCGCAACTTTAAGTTGACTAAGGACCTGGCTTACGCACATGTTGGACATGGAGAGCACCTGCAGTGCTGCTGCTGAGAAGGATAAAATTATGAAATCCTGCAGCGTTATCACTTGTACTGCTTCGTTTTCACACAGAACAAGAGCCCCCACGCACACACACGCACACGCACACACACACACAGCCTGAAGCGCAGAATACAGAATATCAGCGGGGGGCAGATTGAGACAGAACATCATGCGTCTGTGACAGTGTGTGTCCTGTCACTGTGACCCGATTGATCATGCGCCCTGGCTACTTGTACAAGGGAGATCTCAGTTTGGCTGACTGGTTAGCATGCGTGACTTTCACCTGGGAGTCTGGGGATCGAATCCAGATTGGACCATTTTTTTTTATATCCGCCACAGATCTCTCTGAAGAAATCACAGCATTGACGGCTTCAGCAACGCAATGCCACTCCTTCGATTTTCATTGTTTGTTTGGCAAAAGCACTTCCTTTCATTTCTCCATCTCACCCACAAGTAGCTCAATTTCTGCTACTGTGAAATAGCGCTTCCTTGATCTGCCTTGATCTACGGTCGCCAATGGCGGAGCGCTGCAACAGCCGGCTTATGTATATGCATGAGATCCACAAGGCACTTTGCACTGACTATTCATGACAGTAAGTGGGCGTGGTCAGGGCGGGATGTGACTAAAATGCAGCTGAGAACCTGTCTAGATAGTTTCTGATTTATGAAGCGGAGATTGCGTGCAGCTGTGCGTACTCCATGTTTGATAGGTCACAAACCGACTTGGTGTAAGTACATTTTTTTGCTGAGTTTAAGTTAGGGCTGCTCAATTAATCGAATTTTAATCACGATTACGATCTGAGTTTTGAACGATTATAAAAAACAAAACAAGCCGATTATTTGCTCCTCCCGCTTGCGCTGCCCTGAGTTGCAAATGAAGCGCTCCTCCACAGTGTTGCCAACTTAGCGACTTTGACGCTATTTCTAGCAGCTTTTCAGACCCCCTTCTTGACTTTTTAATCCTAAAAGTACCTAGCGAACACCTCAGAAACATCTCTGGTAACCCTTAGCTACTTTCTGGATAACTGTCGTCGACATTTCCTGCAGGTTAGCTAAACACTCCGCCTGCGCTCCGGACCGTTCTTCAGGACATTAGGAAAGGGAATGATGTAGTGATGTATCAGTCGCTAAAGACAGCTCTCGGAGCCGGCTCCCTGTTGGATTAACCAGAGTGAGTGACACACACCACACCTGCGGTCTCCTGAGCAGCTAAAAACAGCTAAATGTGTGCGTGCAGCGTGCTAAACACACGTGCAGCTTGCCCCGATTGCTGAGACCGGGGTGGAGGGTGGGGGGTGCAGCTGTGGTTGGGACAATTATTACATTAACTGATGGGCTTATAAATAAATAGTTTAAAATAAGGTAGAAATAAGTTCCTCACGCTGATAAATAATAACTAATCTCTCTGAGGACATGGTGCTAGTGCACTCTCCTACAGCACCTTGACACGACTCAATAAATGTTATGCAACTTTTTGTGAATATCAATTTATTTGCATTTATTTGTTATAAATGCCACTGTATAATTCTTGCTGTCAGTATTTGCAAGATATCAGTATTTGGGTCTGTACTAGTTAGACTTACATGAGTTAAACCAAGGTCTATAGCCCTTGGGTTATAAACTATGAGCTATAAGTATATTGGTCTTTTTATACTGGGAATCAGGAGTTATTTTAGTGATAATCTTGTTTCTTATTTTTGTCCTGATTGTGCCCTGAGCAGTTTTATGACTGAATAAAAACAAATAAAATCAACATAAATTGAAAAATCGTCCTAAATAATCGTGATCTCAATTTCAGTCACCATAATCGTGATTATTATTTTTGCCATAATCGAGCAGCCCTAGTTTAAGTACGGTTTTAGTAAGGATTACGCAATGTTTGATAAATGAGACCCCTGCTCTTTAACCACTAAACTCATTTCTGGGACTAATCGAATACACAGTGAGTCTGAAATAAGCTCCATCCATTAGCTCCATCGTATGCACCATGCAGGTGTTTGAACAGACTTTCTTACCTCTGCAGGCGGATTTGATACCCACAAGAATTCCCGTTCCCCACGCTTTCTGCTCTCTCTGCAGCCACGCGCTCGGCTACCTGACAGGAAGAACACACATGTTCAAAATTCATTTTAAGACATTTAAATTATAAAATGATTCAAGCAGAAAAAGACAAACAAACTACTCATTTTAACAATTTGCACAAAAAACAATTAAAAGCTTGTGTTACTCGACAAGGAGGAAAGCAGAAAACGTACTGAGATGGCGCTGATACGACGAGGCTGCGTGCAGACCACGCGGCACGTCGAGCCCATCCCTCTGTTGATGTGGTCATCGAGGATGAACTGAGTGACCTGCGTGGTCTTTCCACAACCGGTCTCCCCACTCACCACCAGGACACTGTTAGAGTTGATCAGCTCAACAAGCTCCTGTGGACAGAATAAATCACAAACTCAAGCAACATTAATGCTACTTTTCTTATTCTGTTGGGCATTTTCAATCACCACTTGCCTCTTTTTTCCCAAAGGACGGTAGCTTCTCCCTGAATTTCTGAAAGAAAACACATTACAATAAAATAATGTTATTTAAGTGTCATAATTCATTGCATTCAAAATATATGCTTAATCTCAATGAGCCCTGATAGACAGTAATTTTTATGCAATGACTCACAAGAAGCACGACAATGTGGGATTAGATGAAAATCTACGCTCCTAGAATTATTAGGTGCACCAAACATATGCAGCATAATATCTCACCATCTTTATTTGTGTCTCTTCATGGCACAAAAGTGAATTTTATTCATTGAACACAAAAAAACACAAAAGAAAATAAAACTATCTCACTAGGGTTTAAGGCACAAATGTGGTGAATGGGCTTATTTATCATTTTTGTACTTGACTGTGCATTAACATTTGTTTAAAGGTAAAACCTAAAAAGCCCATAAGTAGTTTAGAAGTAATAATAAAAATGCATAAACTCACTGGCCACTTTATTATGTACGATAAAGCAGCAACTGAATTTAGCTGCATTTAGCCGTCTGGATGGAGTAAAGAGGACTTTCAGGAAGTCAAACTGAGCATCAGAGTGGAAAGGAGAGGGGATTTGGGGTTTCTTCCAAAGAGAATGGTCTGAGTTCTCAGAAACTGCTGATCTAACTAGATTTTTCACCCACAACCATATCTGGGGTTTACATGGAACTAGTGGTGTGCATCTCTACCTGCCTCACGATTCGATCCGATTCCGATTATCTGCTTAAAGATTTGATTTGAGTCCGAAATGCATCACGATTCTTCACACAAAAATTTTCATTACTTAATAAAAGCAGTAGAATAGTTTTAAATTTCTTTTTGATTTAGAAATCCCTGAAAAACAGAACATTCATCTATTCACTATAGTGAGCAATAATTTTTAAAGTGTGCTGCCTATAATTACTTAAATAATATAAGAAATAATGTTTTCGGTAGAGCAGCTTTAAGATAGAATATTACTGAACTTAAAAATAGTAAACAAATACTGTGTTAAGTGATTCTTTCACATCCAGGATCCCAAAACCGAAATTAGCCCAGACATCCGATTTAAATGTAACGGGTACATCTTTGATTACTGGTAATGTTGGCCCTGTATCCCTGTCCTCCTTTTCTGTTTTAAATAGGCGCTAGGGCAACGCAGTGCGCATGTCATTGCAACTCTGCCCCCAGAAGTAATTATAAAACCTCAAAACTTTATTGTCCTGCATAGACATAGACCAGGGGTCGGCAACCTGTTCCCATCAAAGAGCCATTATTACCCGTTTCCCACAGCAAAGAAAACACCGTAGCAGCCGCGGCGTTGTGGGCGGGGCCTACCCTCAGACAGCAGAGAGCTGCTTTAACCAATCACAACAGGTGACAGCAGCCAGTACCTGTCGCTCGTGTACGTCAAAGTTATCTTTCATAAGACGATAATCAATAAAACGATTTATATAAAGTGGATCCAGAAGTTGTAGCCCGTCTCTGCCGACAATATTTTGATATTTTTCACCCTGTTGATGGTTTTACTGAGCAGGTGCCACTTTTGTCATACGTTTCTTTTTAAAACATGTTTAGACTGTTCAGAATACAAATCCAGGCTCTGTCACGTTTGATTGTTGTAATTAAACTTTGTAGGTGGGGAAGGTCAGAAAAGGATCCGATCAATTTGGTTTCCCTCATTTACAGTGACGGAGATAACGGCGCAGTGCGCCTGGCTCTGGTGTTAATCAAGTTAAATTATATCTCTTTGCAACAATTTTCACAAGAAAACAAAACAGTTAAAAGCAGGGCTTGTGTTGACCAGATAGTTCCCGTATTCGACCGTTTATTTTGACGGAGAAAGAATAGAAAGAATTACCCCGACGCATGCATACGAACTGACATTTTATTTGTTTCGCACATTGCAGATGTAGCTAAATCACTCAAGAAAAGATTCTGATCTGAACATCTGAGCTGGACACTGCTCAGCGCAACTCACTGTCAGCGCGTACGTACGGTGCACAGCGAGCTGAAGATGTGGAGAGGGGCTTGGAGCGCGTCGCAGAACCAGAGCGCATGCAGGAAGATTCCTCCGACTGAAGAGAGACTTGTCACTTAGAAAATGTTCCCTGATTATGAAACTTTGGCTGAATAGTGCTTGTTACTTTCTCCAATGTGGCGACACATCCAGGAGCCGTCTGAGGAGAATCCCAGAACCTCACATCCTCTTCAGCTCAGAAAGCGCCTATGATTACGCACAAGCGTGACCCGTCAACCCGGTCTCACAGTAAGACTGGGTTGGAACTGTTCAGGTTTACGCAGACAATCTTTACATTTAGAATTGGCATACAGGTGTAAATTTATTTAAATATCCATTCATTATTTTACAAGCACAGAGAGCCGCATCAGATGGATGGAAGAGCCGCATGCGGCTCCAGAGCCGCAGGTTGCCAACCCCCGACATAGACATAGGGAGAGAATCTCATTATGTCACGTTGCTGCATTGATGCGGAATCATGCACGGCTGAATCGCGATGCATCTTAGAATCGATCATTTTTCCCACCTCTACATGGAACCGTCCAAAAATGTATGAGTGGAACTAGAAATTCACATCATAGATGGTGTCATGTCAATATGGAGAACCTCTGAGGAACGTTTCCAATGCCTCGTTGAAGGAATGAAGCAGGTCGGAGTACTGAATGAAACAAGACACTGCAACATTCTAATGCAGCAGATATGAGACAGAATCATCTCACTGATAACAAAAACCACACAGAAAAAAATCAATAACCCCAGAAGAAATTTGTTGCAAGAGGCTCAAACATTTAGAGCTCTGGAAAACGTATTGATGTAAAAACACTCACCAACATCTCTTTGTACTTCCAGTCTGATTTCTTGCTTTGCAGATCCATTTTAAAGCGATCATCCTTTAAATTGTCTCTGACCACTTCCTGAAATAAAAACTCCAGATCTTTGTCTTTTCTCAAGAGTTCCTCTTTCTTATCCTCTTCTTGATCCTCTTCATCCCAGTTCTCTGGAGGCTCGTCTTTAACTGCTTTTTTAGATGAATCACTGAACAAACACAATTAAAAAACAAACATACTTAAGGTAGGCAGCTAGATACCAGTGGCTACAGTAACAGAGACAGTAAAACGGTTTCTCTTTATATTAGATAGGATTATGTTCAGATCCAGGTGGGTGTGGTGTTGGAAAACATGACCCATGTTGTACTGGGGTACTATCTTTTACTAAACTCCATTTTTAAAGTTCAAGTTGTTTCTGTTTAGCCTCACAAAAAGTTACCTTTGTATATTTTTCTGGCCTGGAGAAATGTCTTCCTCTTCCTCTTCAGATTTAACCTCAGTCTTGTGTTTCTCTTCTTCAGGCAAATCCCCATCAAAGTAACTGAAGGAACCAAAAACAGTTTAAACATAAAAAACAAATAGCCCTACAAAACAACAACCCGCCTCTCAAAATTTATTTTGTTCTTTGATTTTTTTTCCATGTAAATAATAAACGACCCGCACTTGTATAGCGCCTTTCAGAGTCAGAGGACTCCAAAGCACTTTACACTACAGAGTATCATTCATCCATTCACACGCAGTGCAGCTGCCCCGGGATGCACGACAAGAGGGGAGGCAACCGAGCACAGGCGCGACCAGCAGGCACGGACAACAGCAGAATTCTCTGCCTGGACTGATCCTACAACCCCTGATTACTGAACAACCCGCTCTACCTCCAGGGCTGCTACTGCCCAAAATGTATGCCTGACTCTCCTCCTGCAAGCCACAGAAATGTAAGCCCTTCTCACCAGTGACTACTCTCATCTGCTGCTGTCCTCCGGGTTCCAGACATAGACGCACTGGCATAAGTGGCGTCTCTCCTTGGACCGGACCGCTCTGTCTTGACGGAGTTAAGCAGCTTGGTGATGTGCTCCTCTCTGGCCTCATCCATGTGGACCACCGCCCGCTGCACACATAAATTAAATGGACAAATGTTACACTTTTTTCTTTATCTTTGATAAATTCCACCCGAATAAAGAAATGTCAGTAATGCCACAGTCTAAAAACATATGACCCACACTTGTATAGCGCCTTTCTGAGTCAGAGGAGTCCAAAGCGCTTTACACAGCAGTGCGTCATTCATCCATTCACACACACACACACACACACACACACACACACACACACACACACACACACACACACACACACACACACACACACACACTCTCTCACTCACTCTCTCTGATGATGATGAGCTACAGTGTAGCCACAGCTGCCCTGGGGCGCACTGACAGAGGCGACATGACCTGTCTTAACATTATGGAGATCAACTGTTCACAGTTTGATGCTTAACAGCCAAAATACTATGACTTAAATGCAACTTTACCGATCTCCGGTCAGCTTGTTTCCTTCTCACGGCCCCATGCCGTGCGTACCACATACCGATCTCACGGCCCCTGAGGTGAGGAGGAGGACGGTCCTGGTCAACGTCGGAACCACCTCTTGAACCTCCTCCACCACCAAGCCTGTCAAATCTGTCTCTGCTTCCATCCCTGTTGTGTCCTCGACCACCTCTTCTGCCTCTTCTTCCACCACCACCACCACCGTAACCATAACTCATACCGGCGTCTTCAGCACGCGCACGGAATGTAAACGCAGTACACCGTTACCGATAAGTTGTAGCGTAGGAATTAGTAAAATTTGAGCTGAAATTCAAGTAATAAATAACTCAACCACAACCATAAACGCTGCCTGCAGTTGTATGATTCATACAAAGATGTAGAAATTATTTTTTCCTCATTCGCATTCGTAAATAAACCACACGCCACCGATAAAAGTGAGACAGTTAGCTTTAGCTTATAGCTGTCCGGTGCGTCGCGTGCTGATGTCGGAAGAACTTGTGGCTGCTACATATGACGTAGCGGTGCGATTGGCTGGTCGCAGTGCTGCAGGAAAAGGTGGTTTAAAAACCCGATGATGTTAAAATGTGAAATTCATCTATAAAATAGATAAATAAAGCCATTTTTCTTTAACTTTGTCCATATTTTTGCTGTATTGATAAAAAATCCTGCTGCAGTTCATTAGATTGTGTTTGTACTTGATAAATGGAACGATTCTATATTTACTCATAGAAATGATCAGACATATTTTTATTTCTTTTTCAGAAATTTTCTACTGTTGACCTTTAACAATATTTTCTACATGACAATAAAAAAACTAAATTATAAGCTACCACTTTACAATATGATGTTAATAATAGAACAAATGATGAAGGTGTCAATTTAGCCAGTTATGAATAAGCAGATATCAGTGTCCTTTTTCTTGCCAAACAATGACATTTATTCCACATATGAACATTATTTTTTAAATGAATCATACTCAATCAGATATTTGTAATCAAATCAGGTATATTAAAATGTTAATAAATCGCCTTGAAGGTAGTATTCGCCTATTATACATTCACTTCTGACTCTTTACCAAAATTTTGCTCATTCAATATGTGAAAAATAAATATGACTTATTTTGTCCAAAAGAAAAGCTCAACATTACGTTCTGCCTTCAGTCTAATTATGAAAACATTGTGCAAACCCTGAAAGTGGAGCAGTCCAGTGAAGTTCTAAGAAATTTTCAGAAAGATCATCTCTTTCTTCACAGTCTCACACAGTTGGGTGTAACGTTAGATTTTAAACATGATGCAAATGACCTGAAAACAGCTGCAGCATCTGAATGCAAAATAACCAGATGAATGAGAGCAAACAGCGATTAATATTGTCGACCAACAGTGCCAACAACCTATTTTTGAAGCAGACTAAATGTCTGAAGGACACAATAAAGGCTTTGATTCAACGACGTGTCCTTTAATTTGCAGAGAGAAACGGCCTCCAACTGCTGCAGCAGAGCGGAGGAATCATAATGTGGAGGAGAGCCTCCTCCATTAACTTGATAAATGTGGTATCTGACAACATTCATTCTCCTGATGAAAAGGGAGAAAAATTGCTTGCAGGACTTAGGTGTAGCTCAGATCATTTGGCCAGATGGTTTAATTAAGAGGGGATTGTTGTGAAAAGATTCAAGAAAATAAGGGTATTCAGGTTCTTTCATACTCGTGAATGTAGGGGAAATCAGGTTTCCAATTTCTTTCAGGCTGCCTACATTCACTGATGTGGATATTGTAAGACAAAAGCACAAGGACATTCGCTACACATGCATCGTAGAGGAAAGAGAAGCGTCAGAGTATCCAGACACTTCTTATTCATCTAATGCATCTGTTTGCTTCAACATGCTGCCGTCAAGTAATCAAGCAAAAAATATTAGTTTTTGAATCACAAATCAAAATATCTGGACAGAAAAATAACGATTTCAGGCTAATTTCACATGTTTCATCCCACATTTGTTCTGTGACTTAACCATCTGATGAACTGTTCATTCATCTTTAAGCCATCTACCAAGGCAAATGATACATTTAATCTTCTTTAAAGCCTTTCTGGGCTAAATTTTACTGTTCAAAGTTTTGCAGTAGCATTCAGCATACTGACAGTGGTTTTGTCCCGACTGATACCTGCTGAGTGAAGCTCTACACGACACATTTTTAGAAGCTATGGTCTTGCACAAACTTAAATCTTCTTTTTAAATTGGAACGGGTTGAAAATAACTTTTGATGAATTCATATTAATTCTCTCAGAAGAGATCCCTCCTGCTGTTCCAGCCTCCATTATTCTTCAAATGTTATGTTGGTAAACTGAGTGGAGTTTGCACACCTCCCGAGTTCATCCTTTTAACTTCAGTTAAATTGTAGCCAGCTGTGTAAAGAAGACGGTAGAGATTATTTTTAACAGATCTGATGAACAAAGGAATGTTTCTGAGTGAACTAATGATGTCTGCCTTTCACGTAGTCAAAAATCCATTTTCTTTGTATTTACTTTATAATTTTAAACCCAACTGGATGTAAAAGCTTAAAAATTTGATAATGTTAACATATCAGATTTTTCTATTTTATTCTCTGATTGCTTTTGGTACATTTTCATCCCCTTTTATTAAACATCTTGATGATCATAATGAAGATTTGCTAAGATTTAAAAAAAAATCTTTTTCCAAATTGTATTTTTTGTCAGTTTGACTTTTTAAAGGGATATTTCACCCCTGAGTGGAATTTAGTCTGTTGCTATATTCCGGAAAAATAGAAAAGTGGGAAAAAGCATTTTGTAACCAGCCCAGCCATTCTCCTAATCTGGCAGCATTTTGTTTGGCTTTAGCTTAGCATAAACAATGTAAGTGAATGGTAACAGCTAGCATTTCAGTCATTCAAAATCAACAAGCCACTTACATCTGTAAACACAAATGTGTGGCTAGCCTTACACCCGGTACAGTGTTTTGAAGGAACTGCATAAGGGTACAACCAAATTTTAGTTCCTATATTTTATTTTAAGCAAACCGATCCAAAAATTGTGAAAAAGTGTTTGAATAATAAGCTAAAGAGCAAGTCACCCCCTACCAGAGTCTTACTCCACTCCAATTTCCTGTTTAAAAAATGAGCCACCATGAGGTGACCAAGAGGGCGGAGGTAAATGGCCTGTATTTGATATAGCGCCTTCTAGAGTCCTAGAACCCCCCAAGGCTCTTTACAACACAATCAGTCATTCACCCATTCACACACACATTCACACACTGGTGGGGATGAGCTACGATGTAACCACAGCTGCCCTGGGGCGCACTGACAGAGGCGAGGCTGCCGAGCACTGGCGCCACCGGCCCCTCCGACCACCACCAGCAGGCAACGTGGGTTAAGTGTCTTGCCCAAGGACACAACGACAGCGACAGACTGAGTGAGACTCGAACCTGCAACCTTCCGATTACGGGGCGAGCACTTAACTCCTGTGCCACCGTCACCCCCCACCACCACCACCACCACCACACACACACACACAGGCTCACAGCGGCATTGTGACATCATATGGTACCAGCTAACATCATAGAGTACCTCTTAGCCAATAGCAAAGGCAGGTTTACATCCAAATGTAGTGTTTTTACCTGAAGAGGGCGCAACACTGACAGTTTTGAGCAAAATATTTAAATTTTAACTAAGATGCACTAAAGGTCTAAATGATTGACCACACATGTCTACAGCATGATCAGACACTTGTTTATACAGTTTATCAGTTAAAAACAAAGATAATTTGGGGGTGACTTGCTCTTTAATGAATATATTACATCATCATATAATTAATATAATTTTTACATCATTATTTCCTTAAATGACTTTATAATATTTATTGCTACAAATAAATAAAAATAAGGGATAAAAAAGAAAAGATAGTTTGTTTTTCTTGTGAAGAAATTATTATTTTTATTTTAGACAGACTTTTTTTTTTTTTAGCTCGGACATAAAAACTCTGCTTCAACTCATATGAACATCAGGACGTGACCTTTTTGTCTGAACCTTGAAGATTAGCGCAAGATGACAAAAATCAGCCATGACTGTTTTTAGACTCTCACCTTTTGGACTTCCTGTTGCAGCACGGCAGTGAATGTTGTTGTTGGACAAATTTATTTTTGCTGGTTGCTGCTCTGGTTTAAAATCAGGGAAATAATCAACTCAACTGCAAAAGCATTTGAGCATCTTGGTCTTAGATGGACAAAGCTTTCCCTTCATATGAGACTGGATATTCTGAATAAATCACAACTGTGAGTGATGCCATTTGACAGCGAAATAACTCATTTACTTTACTCAGAAATTTGCTCTACTCTTTTATTGTTTCAGAACTTTCTTGTGGTTTAATTAGATTTCTCTTGGAGTGCTTCACCCCCCCCCCCCCCATCACTGTTGTTTTCATATATTGCCTCTGTGCTTTCACTCTCCTCTCTGCCTTCAGCAGAAATGTAACAGACACCAGATCTGAAAGGAAATGGAGGGAGTAATGTGAAATTAGACACAGCATTCATTACAAAGGATCCCACCCCAAGCTGCACCACTCTCCCTCATGATCACATTAAAGTTGCATTTAAGAACAAAATGATGGGGAAAAATGCATACAGACTGACTAGAAAACAATTTCATAAATCATGAAATAATTCATTTTTAATTAGTTGAGGATGAGGTTCACCACATTAAATCCACACGTGGCCTTCCTTTATAAAATGTTGAATAGTTTCCATCATGTCAGTGAAACCTTGAAATAAAAGGAGAGGCTGGTGAAATCCCTTTGAGTCGGAATAAAACAGATCTTTGTGCTACAGTAGTAAAATTGTGAACGTTTTAAACAGTATGAGCACTTAAAGGAGAAAAATGGGCTTTAAATACGATGGGATAGCGTTATTTGTCATTGAACGGAAGAATGAAATGTAGTTTCAGTACAACCATTCCAAGATCAGACATACAGCACATGAAACATGTAGACAGGAAAATGGTTTCGCTGTGGGCATGTGGCTATTATAGCGCTCCAGTTATGCAGGTAAATAAAATGTGTAACACCAGGGTGAAACAAACAACCCCCCACTCCGCTCTCCATGGTGCAGGAAAAAAAACCTTCAGATATAAAAGCACATATTCAGACAGTCACTATATAATCCAACACGAGGTGGGAATCCCCATGCATCAGAGGGAGGCCAGTAGCTATTATCAGCGTGGTTTTCAAACCGCCACTGCCAGGAATTTGGAGGAACGTTTCAGGGATGCTCGAGCATGCTGAAAACTGGTGCGTCTGTCATGTGAGCATATGCATGCATGCGTGCCTCAGTGTAAGTTGGTCCATGAACGTTCTCTCAGTTTAGCTGCAATGCCCGTCTTCTCAGAAGTAAACACGACCTTCCGCAAGGTGGTCTAAGGAGTCCACGGTCCCGTGTCAAGAAATGGTGAGGGAGGGGTAGACTAGAGCATCTGTCTACAGATGGGCAGCAG